GGTGATGTAAGATCTCCATTATAAATGTGCTTTGATAGCCTGATCCTTGTCTTCCTTCTCCCCTCCCCTTGCCTGTTGTCCTGTTCTGGAAGCAGAAGTACTTCTCCAGGCTGAAATATGTGCTGCACTTCAGAGCAGTAACACCCCGCAGTGGAGTGCTGTGAACAAGAAGTAATTTTTAGCAGCTCTTTGTCAATTTAACCTGGTTTTGGGTGCAGTTGCCCTGTGATTGCACTGTGGGATGTGTTCTGTTGTCTACCTGCTCTGGGATGTGTGTTCTGCAGTTTTGTTCATGCTGCAGGTGGGTGGAGAAGAGCATCATGCCAGGACGCTGCTGCATGTAGTGTATTGCACTGGTTAAACATTCTGCTGTGTGCTGGCTTAGCAGGACTTACCTCATGCTTTCCATGCGTAAAATCAACACCCAGCTCAAAGCAAAAAGTTGTGCTTTAGCACTGGAAGAGAAAACCACATTTCACCCTTCATCAGTTGCCTTCTGCCTTCTCCCCTCACTTGAGATCATTCAGGCTGTGGGTATAGTATAAAAGCCCGCTGCTCACAGCACTTGCATAGTTTAAAGTGTAATTGTGGGTTCTGAGCTGCAGTTTTCAAATTAAAGCTTTTAATGCATTGTTCCGTATTCTGGTGTAGTTTATGAATAACACAAGAACAAGAAAATGGAACAAGCAAATCAAACAGAAGGTATTTACAAGAATCTGACAGGCAAATTGTGTCCTTACCTGCCTGATGAAGACACTATCTGGAGTAGCATCTTAATTTGATTTCTTGTAATGCAGAACTTCTGCTCTCTTGGAGCAGGATTTCCTGCAGACTCTGTGTGTTCTCATGTTGTAAGGTCAGTTTATAAAAGAAATAGCCTCTGTTTTTCTGCTAAATACCCACACTTCAGGGTCATCTTAAACTCCTTCCTATCCTTTTAATTTGTTATTCTGCATCCATGTACCAGCTTGGATGGGGCTTGGAGCAACCTGCTCTAGTGGAAGGTGCCCCTGCCCATGGCTGGAGGTTGGTACTGAATGAGCTTTAAGGTCCTTTCCAGACGAAACCATTCCATGATGCCCCCTGTGGACTCACAACTCTCCATCTGGAAGGCATTTATGGCTGTCCTGCAGTGGCATTTTCAGTGATGTTTGGCACTTCAGCATGCCTTTTACATGGCTCATTCCAGCACCCATCAGCCTGACTGAAGTGTTCTCCTGTACTCCCCTTGGACAAGGGTGTTGCTGATGTAGCATCGGAGTATTTTGGTCGAATTCCTCTTGGAAAACTCTGCCCTTGTATTGCCCATTCAGAGGGTTTGTGAACACAGTGATTGCAGGAGTTAGAGTCCAAGGACATTGTACTGGCAAATGCCAGTTCTGTTGTTTCTCCTCTGGCACTCAGTAATGTCTGTGCCTGACACTGGTTTCACCAGTGATTTGAAGGGGATTTTGCTTGATTCCTTTTGCTGTTTCTGGAGAGTAAGTTTGAGGAGTCCTGGAGTAGCTTTAATAGCTCATATGGTCAGAGATGCAGCTACCAAGAGAGATACGATGTTAATGAGCAGCTCGGGAACATCCATGGAACACTGCAGCGGGGTATTAGCTGTGGCATGTTAAATGAAAAAGTAAAGAAAGCCAGGAGTGACTCATGCTCCCATTGTTGGAGCAAAGGTGTTGGTGCTGCTCCAGCCTCTCCTTATTTATCCTCAGATGTGGAGGAGAACCTCCTTGCTGCAGTTAGCAGACTGATTGTGCTGCTATCCTTGCTCAGGGGCCTGTCGAGTCTTCCCACTGGGAGAAAGGCCTTGCTTGGGGTAGAATTGAGGAACTCCTCAGTTCCCAGGTGTTACATCACAGGGATCTCTCATGACTGCCTCAACAGCATCAGTGGGGATTGAACTCGGGACTGGCTGTCTTGAGTTTAGTAGAGATCTGTCATGGTGTAGAGGCTGTTTCTTCAAAGCGGGATGTGATTTATTGCTCCAGAAATGAGCGAGCTTTAACACTGATTTACTGAACTAAGACGAGGCGACGTGATTCAGTGTCACCTCTCAGGCACAGCACGTTTCCCTCAATGCTCTAATCCCTGTTGACTCCAAAAGCTGATGCCTTGGACCATTGTATCTGTCCATAGAATCCTGGAATAGTTTGGGGTGAAAGGGACCTTAAAGCTCATCCAGTTCCAACCGCCTGCCAGGGGATATGGGGCAGCCACAGCTTCTCTGGGCACCCTGTGCCTCAGCACCCTCACAGGGATGAGCTTCTGCCTAAGAGCTCATCTCAGTCTCCCCTCTGGCAGTTTAAAGCCATTCCCCTTGGCCTGTCCCTACAGGCCCTTGTCCAGAGCCCCTCTCCTGGAGCCCCTTTAGGCATTGGGGCTGCTCCAAGGTCTCCCCTTAAGGAGCCTTCTCTTCTCCAGGCTGACCCAGCCCAGCTCTCTCAGCCTGGCTCCAGAGCAGAGCTGCTCCAGCACCTCTCCTATAATAAATATTCCTTAGGCATAAAGTGTTCAAGGCAAAGGAAAAATGGGTCATGGTCTCTTCCCACCACTGGGATGCCCCATCCTGGAGGTGCAAGGGTAAGTGCTGCTGGGGCTGCTTGCGTGCCCATAGTGAGCAGGGACATAAATCCCTCATTGCCTGCCCCAGCGTTTGCAGAGCCTGACTTTGATTCCAACATATGGGGGAATCAGTTGGGGGATACTAAAATGGATGAATGTGCTTGGGACAAAAATAACTGTATTAAACATGTTGCAGGCTCTCTGGCTCAGGGAGTCACTAACCATAAGGCAGGAGGAAGGGAATGTCTTGGAAACAATGTATGCCTGAAGGATCTACGTGCACATCCTTTAGGATATAAGAACCACCACCAGCAGCAGAGTTTGGAAGGATCTTGTTAAGCCAGAACACTCCAGTGCAGATGCTGAATCTGTGGGGTTGTTGCTTGCCTGCTCCCCCCTGAGCAGTCAGGGCTGGCTCTTGGCTCCCGCTCACTGCCTCTGCCATCTCAAGCACACCAGTGTGTGTGTTTCCTCAGTGTTCTGAAGTGGGAATTCTCAGTGTGGCCAAGTCAAACTCTAATGAACTAAACCTGCCGAGCTTACTGCAGCCTTTGGATGGGAAGAGCAGTGCTTAAGCAACCGTGTAATATAGGATCAATTCTGCAGCCTTCCCCTGGGACTCCTTTTAGGTAGCTGTTACTCACCTTGTAGTGTTTATCATTTTAAAGATGATCACACGTTGTCTTCACCATGGGGAAAACAGTGAGCAGTGAAGGGCTTTATTTGTAGCTTGTACTATAAATGAGATTGATGGGTTAGGGTTTTACTTCTCTGTTCCGAGCTTCACAGCTGCTGAGTGCCCAAACATCTGAGGCTGTGAGCAAGGGGTGCCATCGATGAAGGAAAACTTATATCTTCAGTGTCTGATGTGGTGCAGAGCTCCTGGGAGGCTGGATTGGGAATTCCTGCTCTGGACTGTGCAGCCTGTGTGGACAGAGCTTTCCCCATGCAGGGCTTTGGTAGAAGGAGCCCCTGGCTCTCTGCAGGTTGTTGGGCTGCAACAAAACTTCCATCCCTGGAGGTTTTGATGAGAAGCTCTGTGGCAGTTTAGGCTTCTCAGTATGAATTGGAGCCATGTGCTCCTAGCTGGGAGATGACCAGCGGTTCAGGTTGTCATTTAGCTTTTATGGTGTGATGTATGGCAGAAAATGGACCAAGTGGGGTTTATTTTTTATTGCATCAGTACTTTGGTTGTGGTAGTTTGTGTTGCTGGAATATGGTGTGTGCAGCTGTAGGGAAATCCTGGGATTTCAGTGCTGTCCTGTGAGGAGCCGATAAAAGCAATTTGGAAGGCCAGGAGTTGGCAGGGAAGGAGCTATCGGCCACTTGGGTCTGCCTCCTGGGACTCAGCACTTCTCCCAGAATCCTGTCCCGAGGGCTGCCACACACTTGGGAATCCCCATGGGCTCCCCTGAGCTCCCATCGCCGCCTTCTGCCTTCCTGAGGTGCAGAGGACCCGGTTCTTTTTCCCAAGAGTTTTGGGAGCTGTTCCTTCTCCAAGGAGCAATAACCACGAGGTTGGGTCAGTGGTAGTTGTCCTCGGTGCTGGTTTGCTCCTCCCGTCACTGGTGATACAGCCCATGTGTGGAGTGCTAGCAGGATACCAGTCTCCCCGTTTCACACACTGCTGGCTCATGCCTTAGGCCTTATCTGGAGTGCGCAGAGCTCCTGCCCTGCATAATCGTTACAGGAAAGAGTATTTTTTTTCTTGGAAGAGTAAGTATTGCCCAGTGGTTGTAGGGAAATGATCCCTGCCCCTTGCTGCCCGTTGTGCGGATGATCTCCAGCTTTCCAGACGGGCACTGAAAATCGTAGAGTTCTGGAATGGTTTGCAAGAGACCTTAAAGCAACCTGCTTTAGTGGAAGGTGTCCCTGCCTGTGGCAGGCGGTTGGAACTGGATGAGCTTTAAGCTCATCCCAAACTATTCTAGGATTCTGTGATTATTTAAAAGAATAAACAAATCAGAGCTCTGGAATATGGTTCAAGGTAAGGGAATCTGCAAAGGGTCCCCCCTGTGTTTCTTCTGACACTGTCTTATCCAACGATCATCTCAGCATCCAAGCATCCAGAGCTTGTGTGTGCTTTTGGCACGGAGCTGCTGTGCTTGTGTAGGAGTGGAGCCACCACTGACCCCATCAGCAACTCGGCTTCGCAGAGCTCTCTCCTCTGAAGCTAAACCCAGCAGGCAATGTATCCTTCTTATACAGAGCACAGACGTTCTGCTGAGCTTGTAATGCTTCACCTCTGGAAGCTCAGAACAGAGCCCTAAAGCAGGTGAAAATACCTGCTCATTAATGGAGCAGCAGGAACCCGAGGGAATACTTCTATCCATCTGGGAAGTCACTTTTTCATTAGGAGACCCAAGATTTCACTGGGGGAAACCATCTGCCTGGATCACAGCTTATGGCAGGTATTTTCCAGTTGTTTGAGCACAGAGAATCTGCCTGGTAGTTTTATTTCCCTTCAGAAGTGTTCACAGAGATGCTGCTCAAAGGCTCCCGTCTCATTCTTCATTTGCTCTGCTCTGCTTTAGGTATTTGCATGTGAAGGTTTAACACAAGATCCTTCCAACATCCCAGGGTGCTGAAGTCTTCCCTTATGATGCCCTGCAAAGGGAATATAAATGAAGTTTGTAGGGATTTGACACTGGATGACAGAAAAGGTAGACTTGAGGATGGTTTTTTTTCCCTTCAGTTCACCAGATTAGGATGATACGTTACAGGATGAGGTGTAAAACGTTTTCCAGACCCCAGAAGCCATGTGGTGAGGTGTGTTTCTCTTTGTGCTGACAGTGAAGTTGTACATGTGTATACGTATATACATCCCTATAACCCAGGTTAAACTGCTGCATAACTGAACTGTAACCCCTCTTGTTTCTAACTGCTGTGTTTTCCTGTGTTCCAGAGCCTAGCCCAGCTAGAGAACCTGTGCAAGCAGCTCTATGAGACCACAGACACCGCGACACGGCTGCAGGCAGAGAAAGCCCTGGTTGAGTTCACCAACAGCCCCGACTGCCTGAGCAAGTGCCAGCTGCTTCTAGAAAGAGGGAGTGTATGTAAAGCAATATAATTGTCCAGAGGGTGTCTTGGTGTTTTGGGCATTGATAAGGGAAACAGCCTCAAGGTGTGATATGCAGTGTTTATATCCCATACCTTCTGTGCTCTCATGTATCTCAATCCATGGGCAGCCTGTGCCAAAAAAAGCGCTGGCTCTGATGGCTAATTCTGCTGCTGGAGTGGTTCCTACAAATAGTTGTCAATTCTGATGTCTTGTGGCCTTGCTGCATTCCTCCCAGGCTTCCATGAGACACGGCAAGCTTCAAGTTGAAAACATTATTATGGCAGTGGTATTTCAAAGACTGTGGGAACTGCTGCCTGCTCTGGAGGCTTTGGGGAGAAGAAACTGGTGTGTGTAAAGAGGTGCAGTGGGGATAAAGCCAGCAGTGCTGCTTCTGGAATGTGTCATTGGAATGTTTCCCTGCTATAGTGTTGTCTTAATAATCTAGCAGTTTAACACAGGGAAAATCAGATCATGTGCTTTAGAATTAGTGTAACAGAAAGGATGTCAGAGATGCCAGCAGTAAATCGTGCCTGGTGCTTTCAGCTTTCTTTTTTGAAGTGGCCATTGGGTTCTTACCTTGCATCAGCACAGAAAATGTTTAACAGGCTGAGCAAATATACACACAGCAAAGGATTCCACATTTGGTTCAACTTGAAGTCCAAACCAAACTGATTGAAGCTTTTATGTTCGAGCTAATGACTGGTTTACCTGAGCACAAATCAAGTTTTAGATATATAATTAGAGGAGCTCCTAGAGCCCAATTTCATTTTGTGTGTGATCCATTGCCCCTCCGACCCTTGCCAGAGGGTTGTGGGTTTTTTTGTTCAGTCTGGATCTGACTTTATTGCCATTATCCTTGGGAATGTTGAATCTCCTGCACCTTGGATACTCAGCTTTCTGCAGTATGTATATTCCAGAAATGAGCATGCAGATGCTTGTCATCTCCCCGGCTGTGATCTGCAATCGGGTGCAGCCAGGCTTTGAGGTAGTTGGTTGCCCTCATCTGTGAGTCTGACTTAGGTTACAGCTCAGTGGTCCTGTGCTGTGCTGGGAGAAGCAAAGTTTTACCTGTATTTAGTGGTCAAGCGGAAGTTACAAATGCTTCTTAAGGCACAGTAATGTACTCCTATGGCTCAGAGGGCAGATTGGCTTTTCCAGGCAGGTGTTTAAGGTAACTTGGTGTAGTTTGATGCTTGCAGTTTACTCCAGCCTTCAGTGGTGGTTCTGGTGTCTTCTGCTTTTCAAAAGCTCTTTAACACTTCAAACACTAATTTGATTTACTTTAGTGTCTCTAAACACAGAATAAATGCTATGGGAAGTATTGAGATTTACCAATGAAATGAATGCTTTAAACTCAAATTTCTAGAGAGCAATTGGCTTAAACCCCAGCACTGCTGCTGATCTGACATGTGCAGTAAACTCTTCCTTGTGTTTTGCTTTCTGACTTTCTCTTTGCAGTCATCCTACTCCCAGCTGCTGGCCGCTACCTGCCTTACCAAGCTCGTGTCACGCACAAACAACCCGTTACCATTGGAACAGCGAATAGATATCCGTAAGTGCAAGCCTCAGTTCTAATCACACTAATGGGAATGTCCTGTGGGCTTTCACTGTGGCTGGGAGGTTTTCTGCAACCTACTGGGCTTTGCATGGACATTCTGAGGTGCAGGATGCCCGAAAGGCAAAGAAACATTTCTGTGTATCAAGAGTTCTGTATCAAGGGTTTGTAGGGCAGAACTTTCACCTGCTTCTAACCACTTCCCAGATCTGTTCCGCAGCTTTCGTATGTTAAAGGCACAAGTAAAAGGTCAATATTTGTATCTGACCTGCTACTGGTTATTTTTTGCACTGCTTTCCTAAAGCAGTGTTATCATCAGTCCCTTCTGCCAAGTTTTCCTCTGCAGATACTTATTCTCTGTTTCAGGGAACTATGTGCTCAACTACCTTGCCACGAGGCCAAAGCTGGCAACGTTTGTCACACAAGCCCTAATCCAGTTGTATGCCAGGATCACAAAGTTGGGCTGGTTTGACTGTCAGAAGGATGAATATGTCTTCAGGAACGTGATCACAGATGTCACAAGGTTTTTACAGGTCAGATTTTCTTTGTGAGATGAATACACACCTTGTGGCACTTCCAAGTCCGTGCTCTTCCAGCTGTTGTGTAGCACCTCAGTATCCTCTGTGCAGCCCTTCATCTGGGCATTTGTTGGTGGAATAGTGACTGCCAGGGCTGAGCAGCTGACAACTGGCAGGACAGGTCAGTGGTTTACAGCTTGAAGCTTGGTGTGGCAGGGGTTTATTTCTGGATGCTGCCACCATTAGTATGCAGTGGTTAAGACCCATCTTCTAGCGTTCCAGTTGCACAATTCTTCTTTCAAGCTTCAGTACACCCTGCTGATGAGTGCAGAATGGTAAACACGTGGGTTCATTGTCTAGGAGGGAAATAATGTTCCATGCTTGACTTGCTTCCCTTCACTGCAAGGGTGACACATGCCTGGAAATGGTGTTAGATATTTAGCTGAGTTATCATAACAAAATATAGCCCAAAACTAGCGTGTTAAACATGTTCCTGTTTCAAATTGTCTTTAAGAGCCTCTTAGTTCATAAACATACATGCTACCACCACAGTGTAAGGGATTCATTCCCAGCCCAAAACACTTGTGTAGGTGGAAGGTTGCCTGCTTAGGTTTCCTGTTCTGGCTACTCTAGTGTACAGGAGGCTGCTGTTGATTTTAAAGCTGTGGTTCAGCAAGGTTTGCCAGTAGCTTCTATCAGATATTATCATGTAAATACCAAGACTGTCATCAGGAGCTGGTCCAGGAAAGAAGTGACCATGTCCCAGGCCTAAGTATGCCTCAGTTTCTCTTGCAGCCAAGTTGAGCTGGGGGTCTGCAAAGCAAGGTGGAGCTGGGAAAGGAAACATCATTTATTAGTTGCAGAACAGAAACTGGGGCAAAGGAAGAACACAGGTTGTTTCTCTTCAGTCAGTTGATAAATGGATTAACGTTCCCAGAGAGGAGGTGTCTGTGACAGGCTCAGCTCACAATTGGCCCCTTGTTGGGTGTCTCCAGTGCAGGCAGAGGCTGAGCAGGCTATGGAGAATGGAGTCCCTTGACTGGGAGATGGGCTCTGTGTGGCAGGAGGGTGGCTGGAGAAACCTGGTCAGCTGCTGCTTGTGGTGTTTGAGGTCTGGAGTTTAGAAGGGAGAGTTTTTATCTGGCAGTTTTAATAGTCAGGTTCCCACAGAGCCTCTGCTAACATGAAACTGACTTTTGGAAAACAAACCCTTTCAGAGCTCAGGCACAAAATGGTTGATTAAACTGTTAAATGAAAGGAGCCTGGTTTTATTAGCTCCTATTACCCAGCTCTTCAGACCCCTTTGCATTGCTCGCAAAATCCTGCATTTCAAAAGCATGTTTAAAATTCTCTTTTGGGGTTGCTCGTGGCGTTTTTCCAGTCACAGTTCTACAAAGGTAAAGCACTTGTACACAAACGTGTCTCCAAGCAGAAAGGTGTTTGTATGCTGGTGAAGCTTCATAACCCCCTGGCACTGCTAACTGCATTCCTTGTCCCTTTGCTTTCCCAGGATAGTGTAGAGCACTGCATCATAGGAGTGACAATCCTGTCCCAACTAACTAATGAAATTAATCAAGTAAGTGCTACAGCCTTCCTCAGTGAAGTAAGTGTCCCAATTTTCTCATTCATATTGTTGTGTCCTGCTGTGTGGTGTTGGGGGTTGGTTTGGGTTTTGGTGTGGGGATGTTGTGTTGGGTGGTGTTCTTTTTTGTTTTGTTGTTTTTACCCAGTCACTGTTGTGAGATGCTGAAACCTCCTGTCCTGAGAAACTGTTTTGTTTCACTGGCATCTTCCATCCTCTCCCATATTTTGATGTGATTTGAGATAGAATGGAATCCCAGACTGGTTTGTGTTGGAAGGGACCTTGAAGGTCCTCCAGCTCCAACCCCTGCCATGGGCAGGGACCCCTTCCACTAGAGCAGCTTGCTCCAAGGCCTTGTGTCCAGCCTGGTCTTGAACACTGCCAGGGATGGGGCAGCCACGGCTTCTCTGGGCACCCTGTGACCATTTCCATGCCCAGGCTTTTGTACAACCCCAGCTGCATCTCCACAGGGGCTGGTCCTTCACCTCCTTACATCAGGGATAGAAGCAAGTGTGATGACCTCTAGAAATGGTTCTGTTTCTGTCAGCATCTTTATCCAGTGCTACACTCCTGCTTGCAGGAGGATGGGCAGCACAGAAGCTGGCACCTGTCCCAATTCCAGTCTCTACAGGTTGTTACTAGAATAGGCAATGAAGTTAAAGCCTGATCAGAAATCTCTTCCTAGGCTCTTGGTTATCAAACCTGCCACAGTTTACTACTCCTTCCTGAGCGTGCTCTGTGCCAGCCAGTGCTCAGGGCTGCATTCAGTGACTCATCTGGGAAAGTCTAAAAATGCCATTACTTGCAAAATAGTAAATGTGCCAACATGGCCACTCATGAGTGAGGTCTTGCTTGTGTACATGGCAACCCCCCCCCCCCAAAGCTCCTTCATGGGGCTTCTCTTCAGGCTTTTCTTGGTAACTGGTGAAACTTCCAGCTGCACTGCACGACAGTTGAAGTTCCTCAAGCTCTGTTTGCCAAGGTGCTTGTTCCATAAGCTCCCAGAACAAATAAAGCAGAGTGCTGGTAACTGTTGGGAAGTCTCAGTTTTCATCCTGTGAGTACTGCACAGGCTTGCCCACGGGTGCTGAGTATCCCCTGTGCTGCAGCAGTTCACTGGTGGAAGGTACGTGGCCTCCTGGTGAAGGAAAAGAGAAATGCTTATTCACTGTGAGCCCAGACCCACGTGAGATCTGCAGTGACCACAGAGAGAGGAAATAAGGCTCATTTCCTGAAAGAGCCTAAAATCTAATAGCAGGAGGTAAGGAATGGTAATTCTATCATTAGAGCACCTGAGCAATTTAGGTTCAGTTCTGATCTGCTGGGTGATGCAGGGCTTCTTCTCCTTCTCACCTGCAGTATAAGAGACAGGACTGTTTGCAGCCTCCATGGGGTTGTTGTGATGGTTCATACATTGAAGTGAGGTCTGCGGTGGTTAGAGCTGCAGACTCCTGCAATGCTGGATGAGAAGGCTGCATATTTAAGGTTAAAAGAGGTGTAGTAACAAAAGCATAAGGAAAGTGGAGCTTCACATTGTGTGCCTCTGCTTGAACCAGCTGGAGACTTTGTTATCCAGTATAAAGCAGTTTGTGTGGATTTGCCTCTTGAATCTCATCTCGCCTTTTTATTCTGCTACAGTGAGAGGTCCAGAACTGAAGCTTGCTGTGATAGATACAGCACAGTCCAAACTGGCTGGCAGTGGTTAACTCTCCTAGTTTCTTCTCATCTGTGCAGGTTCAGGAGGGGAATTAGGATTGCTAGGACTTGACCATGTGTCTGCCCAGGGCTTCAGGTAGGATCGAACTCTCAGGAGCTTGGAGCACTTTAGAAGGCAGTGTTGGAGTTTCTAAAATGACTGAAGTACTTTTGATCCTGCTTTGGAAGAGATTGAAATGAACTTGAGGGTAAACCCACCCTTGCTGTCAGGCAGGGTGCAGGGAAGCTGCACTGTGAGTATTGGAGGTGGAAGGTCCTGTCATCAGCAGTATGATTTTATCCATGGAAGAGCCATAGCACAGTGCATCCCCCTGGAGTAGCCAACTGGTGTGACATCACTTTGGGGAGGAAGACCTGGGTGTCCCAGGGCTTAACAGGGCTCCGCTGTGTCCTGCTGGTCTTGTTCCACCTCTGCCCCTCAGGTCTAAGCATTGCTTTTCTCTCTGCTCAGGCGGATACTACTCATCCACTGACCAAGCACAGGAAAATTGCCTCTTCCTTCCGTGATTCATCTTTGTTCGATATTTTCACGCTGTCATGCAATTTACTGAAACAGGTAAGGAATCTGTCATTTGGCATCTCTTTTGGGGCTGCGTGTTGGGTAACAGGCTTTGGGCTCTTCTGCCTAAGAGCTCCTCTCAATCTCCTCTTTGGCAGGTTAAAGCCATTCCCTTTGTCCTGTCCCTACAGGCCCTTGGCCAAAGCCCCTCTCCAGTCTTCCTGCAGCTGCTTTAGGCACTGGAGCTGCTCTAAGGCCTCCCCTTCAGGAGCCTTCTCTTCTCCAGGCTGACCCAGCCCAGCTCTCTCAGCCTGGCTCCAGAGCAGAGCTGCTCCAGCCCTCGCAGCAGCTCCGTGGCCTCCTCTGGCCTCGCTCCAACAGCTCCAGGTCCCTCTTCTGCTGTTGCCCCAGAGCTGGATCAGGACTGCAGTTTTGGGGTTTATTTTGTTATTAGTTTGGGGATTTTTGGTTTGGTTTAAGTACAGAGTGATAATACAAAGCACAGACAGGCTGGCCTGTCCCTGGATCCCAGACCCAAATGCTGCATTTCAGCTGCAGTGAAATGACCTGGCATTTCATGTCCATTGAGTTCTTTGTGTTACTTGAGAGTATCCCTGTGTTCCCTGCCCATGGCAGTGTGTAACCAGAGCAGGGTTTGTGCAGATCATCTGTGCAGCAGAAATGGAGGCACTCATTTCCATAGGAGGGGTAGGTGGAGCAACAGGATTCCCTGCTGCAAAGTGCTCCTCAGGCAGGAAATGTATTCTTGTGTTTAACCTTAATAAGAACTTCCTTATCTTTGGAATCTCATGGTATGATTGTATGCTGGCAAGCCTGGCTAGTTTTCCTCCTGTGCAGTACAAGCTGAGTGAAAAAGAAAGTGCTGTTTATCCATCTCCTGTGAAGATAAAGCATGTAAATACACATGCTGCCTGTGAAAGTATGTGATCACTGGTGTTGGTGCATGTGGCATGTGATCCTTATGATTGCCACATCCTGTTTCAAGTTAAATTACTGCCTCAGACTCAGCTGTCACCTTGATTTCTTTTTCCTTTTTGTAATTCCATGTCTTTTATAGGCTTCTGGGAAGAACCTGAACCTGAACGATGAGAGCCAGCACGGGCTGCTCATGCAGCTGCTTAAGCTCACACACAACTGCCTGAACTTTGATTTCATTGGCACATCAACAGACGAGTCCTCAGATGATCTTTGCACTGTGCAGATCCCAACCAGTTGGAGATCAGGTAAGCTGGCTGTGAGCTACGCCACAGCAGCTGAGAGCAGGGCTGACCTGCTCCATCCCTTGCTGTACTGCAATAAACGGCCATGTAGGATGTCAGATGTAAAATCCAGCCTTTCCTTAGCGCCATTACAAAAGCAATTCAGTTGGGGTTGGCTCTCTTGGGCTATAAAAACACCCTCTGCCCTTCCAGTCTTCCACCTGCCAATTCAGGAAACAGCAAATGGTTGGGCTGCTTTAGAAATGGCAGTACCAAGTGACTGGGCACCTGCTCTCAGCATCCTTGCTGTTCTCACCAGTCACTTTGCAGGCAGTTTCACAGATTGTGTGCTTAAAATATCTCCCTATAATTTTGTCTTAGCAGCAAGTACCAGGAGATTTACTTTATTTCTAGGAAAGGAAATGGGGTAAAAATGTCAAATCCCTTGGGAATGTATTCCTAGAGTGGTACTTCACATGACAGTACACATGCCATGGTTGGTAAGCTGAGCTTTACACCTATGGAAAGCAGTAGATGGAGGTGTCCTCAGTATAATGCTCTGTTCTTTTTCAGCATTCCTGGATTCTTCAACCCTTCAGTTGTTTTTTGATCTTTATCATTCCATCCCTCCTTCGTTTTCTCCTCTGGTAAGTTCAGTGTTTATTTCCCTTACAGACTCCACTACCAGGCAGTGTGTGTAGGATTCATCTGGGATACTTACTGGTGATTAAAATGCCTTAGGCTGGCTTCACACAGCTGCCTCCACACTGATGACACTGGCATGTGCCATAGTGACAAAGGATCCAGTGCTGCTGCTTGTATCTTGATGCATCTGCAGGTTTAGATTTGACCTAAGAGCAGCTTGTTTGCTTCCAGCCCCCTTCCTTGTCTTTCCATAGCTTGGAGCCTGCCTGCTCACTCTCCCAGCCACCCCTTTTTGAGGGATGCTATTCCCACTGAACTGCTGAGTCAGTCCTAAAACCGTACTGCGAGTAGGTAGGGAGCACAACTGATCAATGTACTTTCTCCTTCCACACTTTCAAACTAGGCCATGTCCCAGTTGGATGAAGTGGCCAGTAGAGCAGCTGAACTGAAAGATGGATTATTTCTTCTTTGAAAAAAAAAGACCTGCCTGCCAGGCATTGCCCTCTCTGACAAATACTTCTCAGTCAGAGCTGGTCAGAAGGAATGAGGTTTTGCCTCTGGGTAAGGCTTGCAGGGTGCCAGTCCTAGCTAACTGCTGCTGCTCTTCCAAATCCTATTCACTACCCTGTTACTACTGCAGCGGCACCCTGGGAATTCACTCTGGATTTAAATTCCAGAGGGTGGGTTGAGATCGACTTATTTATTTTTATTCCTGCCTTTCATTCTGTCTCCAGCAATACTTCTCCAAGTCTTAGTTAAGTTCAGCAGCTTTCCCTGCCAATCCGGGGGCATGTTCAGTCTGATGCAATCTGTATTCTCCATCTGAAGAAATCCCAGCATCTCTGGGAGCAGAGTTTGGAACACACCTTTGACATACCCAGATGACACAGCCGCAAAGAGAAGGAGCTGTTCCAGAGCATGCAAAGGAGCAGCAGACTGAAATGATTCCTTATGTCATGAAAAGGAAACGTGCTGTTCACTTTATTGCTCTGATTCCTTCCTATTTATTCTTTGCCCCTTCCAGGTCCTGTCCTGCCTGGTGCAGATAGCCTCTGTGCGCAGATCCCTCTTCAACAACGCAGAGAGAGCAAAGTTCTTATCTCATCTCGTGGATGGAGTTAAACGAATACTGGAAAACCCCCAGGTGAGTATTTGGATGCAGGCAGTGGAATTGGGTCCCTGCTTACTCAGCATCATGTTTTTTCACCAAAAATACTCTCTAATGTGTGTGTCCCACTTGTGGCACTGGGGTGAAGGGTGCAACATAAAATCCCAGGCTGGTTTGTGTTGGAAGGGACCTTAAAGCTCATCCAGTTCCAGCCCCCTGCCACGGGCAGGGACACCTTCCACTGGAGCAGCTTGCTCCAAGCCTGATCCAACCTGGCCTTGAACACTGCCAGGGATGGGGCAGCCACAGCTTCTCTGGGCACCCTGTGCCAGCACCTCAGCACCCTCATCTTGCTGCTCTCTTCCTTTTCCTACCATTCCACCATCTCTGCACCTCCTGTAGCTCACCACCAAGCACTGGGGAGTGTTTCTCAGTTCTCCTCCTGTTCTTCTCTCAGAGTTTGTCAGACCCAAACAACTACCATGAGTTCTGCCGGTTGCTGGCCCGGTTGAAAAGCAACTACCAGCTGGGAGAGCTGGTGAAGGTGGAGAACTACCCCGAGGTCATCAGACTCATTGCCAACTTCACCGTGACCAGCCTGCAGGTACAGAGTGGTTCTGCTCCCCCTCGAGGGGTGCTCATGCCCTTTGTCTTCTCTTCAAACAAAATCACAACCCTCTTGGCTGTTCTTTGCCCTGTAATTTGCTGTTATTTTACCACAAAGCCCCCCAGGCTCTGGCAGAACCCTGTGGAGAAGCATTGATGATTCTCTGAATTCCTCCTGAATGGAGCAGGGTGTGAGGGAAGGCAGAGCTGCTGTGCCTCCAGAGCCTTCCCATGTCCTAGCAGAGGGCAAAAAAACCAGCTTGTTAAATAAGACTTATTTTTAGACTTATGTATCAATCACTATTCAAATGCAGTTGAAGGGGTTGCTTGTAATATGAATATCATGCCATATTCTCACTGTGTTTTCCACTGGTGGATACAGCTTGTAACTGCACCCCTGCACAGAATATGGTCAAGGAAAGTGTATAGCTTGCATAATGCCTTTGTCTCTTAAATCTTAATATTTATCTGGGAAACAGCTTTAAGCTGTACATTCTACTGGGGGAGCTGCTCACAGCATGCTATAGCATGAGCTCAGCAGCAGTTTGGGACCAAAGACTTTGGCTCAGCTGCACCACCCAGGAGCTAAGGATTGTCTGTCAGTGTTCACTGGATGCTGATAATGCCCATTGCATTCAGGTGTAAAACTCATTGCTCACATTGGCACCCACAGTATTAAAGCTGCTAGATACTGCCTTGTCTGTGCTGTGTGAGTCCAGATAACCTGGGTGAAAGAACCAAGATCATAACTTGGTTTCCTCGCCCTCTCCTCCCTGCTTTCCTGCCCTCTCTTTCTCCTGCAGCACTGGGAGTTTGCCCCAAACAGCGTTCACTATCTGCTGAGCCTGTGGCAGCGCCTGGCTGCGTCAGTGCCCTACGTTAAAGCCACAGAGCCTCACATGCTGGAAACGTACACCCCAGAAGTCACAAAAGCTTACATCACATCCAGGCTGGAGTCTGTGCACATCATCCTGAGGTAAGCAGAGCAGAGGGATGGCAGCAGCCTGCCTGCCAGCACCAGGCTAACACAGCAGGCTCCAGTGTGTTTTCATTCTGAATTCCTGTTTAGAAATGGGTATGGCTGCAGGAAGTTCTGGGAGTCACCATTGGTTCCTAAGGCTGGTTCACCTAAACTGCATGTTCTGCCTCTGAAGTTTGTTTTAAGCTGGCTTCTTTGAGACCTTGCTCAATCTCCAATGGCTGAGATTGACCTGAGTGGTCTCTGGTTATGTGTAGAATTCATCTTATCAAACATCTGCAGCATACCATTTACACTGCCAGCAGAGAGGAATATGTATACAAAGTGTGACTCGGTTGTTAAATCTCTGCTGTAGGATGGCAAAATTACACCTAAAAGTATCTTTTGTTTTCCCTTTGAGTGTAAGTGCAGCCTACAGGACTGTTAATGCCTGAACTGGTGTGGGATGAATTCCACCTTGTGTGTGTTTGTGTTTGATGAAGACAAATGATCAAATAAACTAATGCCTCTCCTCAGGAAGACTGACCAGCTTATACCGTTTTAGGTGTCTTAACAGCACGGTTACCTGGTTCTGGAGTTTGCAGTAAACTTACTGTTGAGGTTCGTGTAATCTTTTGTAATCTGCTTTCTTGCTCCTTAGGGATGGTTTGGAGGATCCACTGGATGATACTGGCCTTGTACAGCAGCAGCTAGATCAGCTGTCCACCATTGGCCGGTGCGAGTACGAGAAGACCTGTGCTCTGCTCGTGCAGCTCTTTGACCAGTCAGCCCAGTCCTACCAGGAGCTGCTGCAGAGTGCCACTGCCAGCCCCATGGACGTTGCTGTACAAGAAGGTGAGCGTGTTTGAGAACTGTGGCCTATGAGCTCGCAGTAGGTTGCCCGTTCTCCTGAGCACCCTGTCAGAAGCCTGCACTCATGGTGAAAGCCCTGCACCTAAAGCTGGGAGGCAGATCTCACAAACAGGGTGGTGCTCGTAAGGTGTAGAATATTTTTGGCTGTAGACAGACACAGCATTGCTGCTGAAGATATTGCTGTCCTACAGCTGACTCCATTCCTTTTGGGGGGAGATGTAGCACTTCCTTCCCCAGGCTTTCAGAGATGAGTTCTGAGGATGTTCCCCCATCCAGAGGTGGTCAGCACTCCCTGGCCCCCTCCCTCTTTTGTCAGTGGCAGGTTGTGGAGTGCTCATTTGAATCTCCCCACTGAGTACGGGACAGAGACCTCCAGCTGCTTGTTGGTAATGAGTAACTGGGAGTGAGGTTTTCAGCTGATGCCGGTGTCTGAAGGATGAAGGAGGATGCCCACAGTGTTGGGTGCATTCAGCGTGCAGGTTTTGTACTTGCCTGGCTGGTTGGTTTAAGAATTGCTTAATCCTGGTTGTAAAGAAACAGCTCCTTTGGAGGCTAAAGTTTAGCTGTGTTATGCCCCTTCTCTGATAACATAGCTGGCTTCCTTGTCTGAGGAGGAGTTAGGCACATCAGCACAGGTGTGGAAACTGTTCCTCTTCCTTTTGAAGCGGTATTGTCTGATCTAACACAGCACTTCTTTATTTCTCTTTGTATGTGTGGGCAAAGCTCCACATGAGGTTGTCTTCTCCACCAGCCACATGTACTTTGAAAGAATAAACACTGCCTGCTGGTGTCTACATGTGTTGAAACACTCTGAACACAGTTTTACAAGTGGCTTTCTGCAGTGGAATAGATTTAAATAGTGAAATCTTTCGGGCAGACCTCACGTTCTTGTTTCCTTTCTAGCAAAGCTGTGCCTGCAAGTGGAAAACGGAGTAATTTGGGTATAGATGGGCACAAAAGCAGGAAGATCCTCCCTCTGAATCCTGCCTTTGCCAAAACAAAATGCACCTTCCTCCTTGTGATGGGCTGGTTGTGATGTGTCTGTTGGTTGCAGGGCGCCTGACATGGCTCGTCTATATCATCGGGGCAGTGATCGGTGGCAGGGTCTCCTTCGCCAGCACGGATGAGCAGGATGCGATGGATGGCGAGTTGGTCTGTCGGTAGGGATGCTCTTTTCTAGCTGCACCACCACTGAAGACCACAAAAGAATTGCCCTCCTGAAGCTGCCACCATGTTCTTCCCCTCTTGTCACTGAGCAAGTGTGGAATTGGCCACCCTGGAAGAAGAGATTGGGGCGCTGGCTGGAGCCACTCAGCAGCCTTCTGCTGTGGCTTGGATAAATTGGGAGATGTGGGTCATGAGAAAGAGAATGAGAGAGGAAGAGCATGTGAGAGGGGGATTACACCAGGCTTAACTGCATGCATTGAAGCAGAACTAAATGCATGATGGTTATTTGCTGGGGTGGGGGGAAAAGTCTTTTTCCTAGTTAATGATCCAAAGTGATAAATACACTGTGAATATTGTAGTTCTCCTATAGCTTTAACACATCATCTAACCGATGCTGAATATTTGGGATTGTAAATCCTCTCCAGTGCAAGCTTTATTTTGTGGATGTGAGAACACGTAGAGCGACCTTGAGTCACACTGAGTGCCTTCTGCTCCAGAGCCAAATTGCTCCGCTTGGAAGCTAGGGTAGGAAAAGGATGTAACTGGGAGTGTATGGAAGCTGGCCTGTTGGTGAGCCAATGGATAACGTCAAGCCCTGGCTTCCCATGTAGCTGATGAGTTACTGAAGGGGAAGTGGTGAGACCCTGCATATATTTCAGCTGCTTCAGAGCCAGCATGTATGAGAGATGTTCAGAAAAGTCTGTTTTATCTTTTCCCACTTTGTGCTTTGTGGCACTTGCCAAAAAGAATCTCATTGCTTTTGCTCCCCTGCTCTGCTGCATATGTGTTACCTCAAATCCCTTCACCCCTTCCTTGCCAGCCAGGCCTGCTCACTGTGCACAGGTCACAGCAGTGCTGCTGCTGAAGTTGGGGTTGTCGTTTAGAGTCTGGCTGTTGTGAGGGGAGCACATTGCTCAGGTGGTTTTGATGGACCAGTCATGGGGCAGTGCTCTAAAGCACCTGAAAGTCACTTCTGCAGCAAATTAAATCCAAGGCCTTGCATCCCTGTTAAAGGGATACGGAATCCTTACAACAGCCTTGTGCTGAGGAGGAATGTGCCCTAGTGAGAGTTTTACCAGTTTTATCAGTTCTTGGCCCACAATGCCCACAGAAGGTAACAGATACTGTTGTACACAGCTGGGATACAGCAGAAATCCCTCCTTTCTGCCTGTGTCCTTCTCCAAGGTGTGTTTTTCCCCTCTGTGCAGGGTGCTGCAGCTGATGAACTTGACGGACTCTCGCCTGGCACAGGCAGGGAATGAGAAGCTGGAGCTTGCCATGCTGAGCTTCTTCGAGCAGTTCCGCAAGATCTACATTGGAGATCAGGTGCAGAAGTCTTCCAAGGTAATCAGTCCTCTTGGCTGCATCTCTGTGGTGATGCAAAGTCCAGTAATAGCTACCCTTTTAAAATGAGAGCAAGTGGCATTATTTATTCTCTCCTCTTTATAGCTGCAAACACTCCAGACCTGTGCCAGGTGGTTTAGATGTGTGTCCAGTGTTAAACTCTGAGCTGATTTTGAACTACCCGGTTCTGTAAGTGTCAGGAAGGAGCCCATGACTATGGCAGCAACCTGGAACTTGAGACCTGTGTTCAGTTTTGTGACTTGCTGAGTTTCTGCTGTGACTTCAAATGATAACTGTGGAAGTGTGTGGGTTGCACCACCTCATACACCTATGAGGAACCTGAGCTTAGCATCTGTACCTTGCTTCCTCAGCTCCAAAGTGTAGATAAATATCCATCCTCTTCATCACAAGGCAATTGTAGATGTACTGGACTTTGCCTTGATGTCTCTTTAGAAATGCAAAATACCTTTTTTAAATAAAGAACATGTAAAGAATAGGAGTATCATCACTCCAGTCAGGTTCTCTTCCTTTCCAGTCACATATGGCTTTCCTTCCCCACCCCAGAGACTTTGAAGCAGTGGTATGACAAGGGGCTTAAGAGTTCCAGACAAATACACTTAAGATACTGCATGAAGCTGCAGGTGGAGGAGTGATATCCCCTTTCCTTCGGCAAAGCAAGTGCTCCAGTAACTGTGTACAGTACCTGAACCTGCTGTGACGAGGGGTATAAAGAGGTAGCAGTGATGAGGGCGAGTATTGGTCTGGATCAGACCAGTCAGCACAGAGAAGCTTGTGGTCTGGGAAAGTAGAGATGTGCCCCCCCCCCCCCAGGCATGTGTGCTGCAAAGGGAGGGCAAGAGAAGAACCTTTGATCAGAACTTGTTTTCTTGGCAGCTTTTAATTGGTGTTGTTTCCCCCTTCCAGCTCTACCGCCGCCTCTCGGAGGTCCTGGGGCTGAATGATGAGACCATGGTCCTGAGCGTCTTCATAGGAAAAATGTAAGTGTTCCTGATGCAGGCATCACAGATTCCAGGGTTTGTTTGAAGGTATTACCAGGAGAACTGGTATATGAGGGAGTGTTGTTCAGTCTAAACCTAGTAACATCTGGTTACTGGAGAGAACACGGGCTTTTGTCAGGGCCTGAGTCACACGCAATGTCCAGGATTGATTTATCCGTCGTGGAGCCACCACAATAAGCTGTACACCAGGAGAACGGATTCTCTTTGCAGTGTCTGCTCAGTAAAACCACAGTCAGGGAGGGGACAGCCTCAAGCACTCATGCCCTGTCACTTGACTATTGGCAATCACCAGCCACGAAAGCTCAATGGGGAGGGGACTGCTCCTTCAAACTGTGCTGTTCAGTCCCAGAGTAGTGCAGGTCCTTCCTTAAAACTCCTCCACTCTGGTAGGCACCTATTTGGCCTGTTCTTGGCAGCTCTTCTCTGGACCAGACCTGTCCACTGGCTTTTTGTCATGGCTTTAGCAGCCTCCATTAGTGTTTTTGAACCAATTCAGTAGCTCCAGTGCTGACACCCAGTGCCATGTGCCTGGTGAGGTGCAGCCACTAGCTCCCCCTCAACTTCTATATCATCACCCCCATCTTTACATGCATGGGGGTGATGCGTTGTCCGCAAGGGGTGAAATGGCTCTCCTGGAAGGAGCAAGGGCTATTAGAATTCTGCAGCTGACAGTGGATGGTGCAGGTGCAGAATTGCATACGTCTGCATGTAGTCACTGCCGCAGAATTCTCTTACCCTTGCTGCAGAAACCAGCCCTGGAGTGCCACAGAATTCCAAGGGCCTGGGTATGGGCCAGTGTAGCTTGGGACCCAAGTAGTGAAGATTATCTGAAGGATAATTTTCTAGTCAACCAAATGTAAGTACAGTAATTTTATACCAATATTTTGTGGCTTGTGATGTCTGTGGTCTCGGTGGAGGGTGGAGCTGATGATGTTGGGTGGCTCTTGAACTGAAGAATCCGCCGCACAGCAAAGGGGAAGCCAAGCAAACCCCTCTGATCATCCTTATTGTCCTCTTTCCTAGCATCACCAACTTGAAGTACTGGGGTCGGTGCGAGCCCATCACCTCCAAGACGCTGCAGCTGCTCAATGACCTCTCCATTGGATATCCTTTTAGAAGAGCTGTTGAGTCTGCAGAGCACTTGAACCTCAGGATGGGGGAAGAGTGACCCAGCTGGAACAGGAGCACTCTGCGTGGAACAGATTTCTGACCCACCTCATCTTCTGGGTAGTGAGAAGAGCAGAGTGAGAGTGCGAGTACTTGGTCAGCGTCTTGCCTAGATCCATAGAGCCCCAGACTGGTTTGTGTTGGAAGGGACCTTAAAGCTCATCCAGTTCCAATCCCCTGCCATGAGCAGGGACACCTTCCACTAGAACAGCGTGCTCCAAGCCCTGTCCAGCCTGGCCTTGAACACTGCCAGGAATGGGGCAGCCACAGCTTCTCTGGGCACCCTGTGCCAGTGCCTCAGCACCCTCACAGGGAAGAACTTGTGCCTAATATCTAATGTAAATCTAGCTGTGGAATTCCAGTGGATGGCTATAATGTAGGTTTTTTCTTTTGGGCCATAATTTTGTAGCTTTCCATCCGCACTTAATTTGTCTTATGGTCTTCTTCCTGACAGAGTAAATAAAAATGGTCACTGCAGGTCTCTGCAGTAGAGCTTTATGCAACTTAGTTGCTCTTGAAACAAGTGGAATTGAGGCTAGAATGTGTTCAGTAGTACAGACATAAGTCCCCTTCCAGGTTTGCCTTTGCAAGCATTGTAAGAAGTTTTCTGCTGACTCTGCTGCTTCCTTAACACCCCATTTACGTACAGCAGTGTTAGAAAGCTGGTGAAGCTGAGCGCTGTACAGTTCATGCTGAACAATCACACGGTGAGTCCTTCCACCTCCTGCTTCTTGTCTCACAGCAGCCTCCTCCATCTGCCTGTTGCAGCTGAGATAATCCCCTCAGTTTAACACCTGGACTCACTTCTGAAGCTTCCCTGTCTCCCAGATGCTTCCATCCTAATAGATGCCACGCATGAGCCAGGATACTCTGTGTTCCACCTCTGTTCCATTTGGAGGGGCTGTAATTATGTGGTACCTTTCATCCCCAAGGTGTTAATGGGGGGGATCTCTGCTCTCCACTGAAAGAGCCGTCTCCAGAGAGAAATGCTGCAGCCAGGCAGTGAGCACTTTGTGCAACTTATAGCATTATATATATATATATATAAATATAACAGCATTTCACTGTTCCTGCTCTCATTCTGAAAGTGCTGATTTGGAAGAAGTGCCATGGCTTACAGTGCTTATGATAGCAGCCTTGGGCCTTGGTCACTGCCACTGTGGGGGTACTTCCAGGGTGGTGATACTCATTGTGCACATGTGGGCTGCTGGTTGAAATCAGGAATGTCAGACTGAGCAACTAAAGCCAGCAGTGAAGTGTCACATTTCTAACTCACTTCTGTGTGCGTGTGGTCATCTCATGACTCCCAGCACCACACCCAGCAGGTTTGCATTGACCAGCGGCAGCAGGCACGGTATTCCTTGAGCAGGAGATGTTTTGCAGGCAGTCCCATGTCCTGTGTTTAGTCCAGAAGCTGCATTCAGACTGCACATCATCTGGGGATACTCTTTCCATGGAGAACAATGGTAGAGTAACTGGGTTTTCAGCAATTTAATGCTTACAGGGTCCCAAGAGTAAGGAGAGCAGATTGCCTCTCTGCTCTGGAGGCAAAGCAAGACTTCCTTGTTCATTTGGTCTTGGGGAGTTCTGAGATGAAAGATGAGAGATAGCACTGCTGGCTTTGCCAGTGGGCAGGGCACGGTGCCTGTTGCCCTCTGGTGGTATGTTCTCTGAGATGCCTGGCAGATGTGGTTAGCAAGGTACCCGTGTGCCTCCCTGCTTCTCATCCTTGCATCAGCTGGGCATCAGCCAGGGGAATGGGGCTCCTCAGCCCTCAATCCAGGAGCCTGTTTGGGGTGATGGTTCCCCTTTAACCCATCTCTTCTCTTCCCTTTGCAGAGTGAGCACTTTTCCTTCCTGGGTATTAACAATCAGTCCAACCTGACTGACATGAGGTGTCGGACTACGTTCTACACTGCACTTGGGCGTCTTCTCATGGTGGATTTAGGTACTGGGGTCTGTTCCTGGGAACCAGAGCAAAACTCTGTGGTTTGGGGGCCAGGCTCTGCTGTGAGCTGTGAGCTCCTTCAGGAAAGGATGCTGGGAATGAGAAAAGCCAAATGGGATAAGAAAAAGCAGGGGAGAGAAGCTTGAGAGTGGGTTTGATGCCATGTCACAGAGTACAAGTAGGCCACAGGTACACGGCACCAAGACTGGGGCGAAATTTTCCTTTTGTAATATTCCCAATGTTTTCCTGATTTGGCAGTTTGTTCTAAGCCTTATCTAGAACCTGGATATTGGCATCAGTAGACCTGTGTCTGTGTGTCTCTGCCTTGAGCTCTGCAGGTCCAGCATAGGCAGGAGTCAGGGTCAAGGATGTGCACTCTGCTTCCTCCTTTCTTATCTCCCCCTTTCCTGATTTCCTTTTCTTTCTCTTTCAGGGGAAGATGAAGATCAGTATGAGCAGTTCATGCTTCCTCTCACAGCTGCCTTTGAGACTGTGGCACAGATGTTCAGTACAAATACTTTCAATGAACAAGAGGCAAAAGTAAGTTGGGCAGGATCTTCCCTGTTATCCATGCTCTCCCTGTTTCCCTCAGGGGCTTTGACATTTTCAGTTCAGGCAGACATGAGAGAACAAGTAACTCATGCAGAGTGAGAGCCATTCTTCGGAATGAAACAAGTAGATGCTAGAAGGATGGAGGCTTTCCTGACAGTGTATGGGAAAGCAGTGGTGCACCTTGTACCCTTTGGGGTTCATAGTTGGAGCCAGCTTTCCTTCTGTTTGGAATGAAAAACCCCAGTACTGTCACTGCACTGGCTCAAATGAAAGAGGCACTGAAGAGGAAGAACTATGTCTGACCTGGGATTGGCATCTAGCACAGAAAGGCTGTATTCCTGTTGGGATGGGAGCAGCTGGGCTGGTGGAGACAGGGAGGGAGAGATCCATACGTGTGTCAAGTTTTAACATCTCTTTTCTTTTGCAATGCAGAGAACTTTGGTTGGCTTGGTGAGAGACTTGAGGGGAATAGCCTTTGCCTTCAATGCCAAGACCAGCTTCATGATGCTGTTTGAGTGGATGTATCCTTCTATTGCCCTAAAGCTTGAGTCCTCATGTCCCTCAGAGGGGGGAGAACGCTGGCTGACTGCATCCAAATGTCCTGTTTTCCCTGCTGAACCCTGACTGGGGTTTCTCTTCACTTGTATAGTACTCAGTATCCTGTCTCTGAGCCCTAAAATAGGTCTGTCTGTAACCAAGTCAACCTAGAAGTCTGCTCAAAGCTGCTGTTGGGGTTTTTCCGAGTGGACCTGAAGAGATTTGACCTGCAAAGCACAAAGGCTTTTAATGGGATGCGTGCTTCCCAGCAGCAACAAAAGCTTCTTCTCTTGCTCACCAAAGCCAACAGCAGTTGGTATCCTTGTCCTTTTGGTGAGAGCATAGCTGCTCAAAGAGCAGGCGGGCTGGGGAAGGTCAGCTGTCTGCACTGTCACATCTTTGGTTCTGGCTTCCCTTTCATTGAAGACCTTTTTGGTTCTTGTTTGTCCTAGCATAAGAAGTGTGTTTGCAGCTCCTTCAGCACACTGATGAAGAGGTTCTATTTTTAATTATGCTCATTTTTTTGTGTGATAAAGCAGACCCCAGCAAGCAGTATCTCTTGTTTAACCCTGTCACATAAGCTGCTTCACAAGGTATGGGTGCAGTACACAAAAATAAGCTTTTTGGTAGAAATCGTGACCTTTTTTGCTTCAAGCAAAGTCACAACATTCCTTAGCTTTCACCCTGCAGTTACCCATCCTACATGCCAATCCTGCAGCGGGCCATTGAGCTCTGGTACCATGACCCTGCCTGCACTACACCCGTCCTCAAACTGATGGCTGAGCTGGTACATAATAGGTATGAACCTGCTGCCTCTGAAAACTGGCAGGGATTTGTGTCTGTGCTGCTTCAGCCTTCGGGGGGGTGTCAGTGCCTGGCTGTTTTTCTGTACTTGGGTTATTTATGCTCTGAAGGCTGCAAAGGGGATGGGGGGGACTGGCTCTGTGTCAGCAGAGAAGAAAATCGAACGCTTCAGATCTCATGACTCAGACCAGAGACACGATCAATAGCACTGGATTCCTTTAGTGTCTGCTTCCAAGGGCAGCAGTACAAGATGAGGCGGGCAGCTCATGTTAATTTTTAAAGCCTGTGTTTCAAATGAGCCTTGTTCTCTCCGGCAGCCAGATGAGCACTTTTGCTTCAGAGCATCAGCTCTTGTTGCCAGCAGAGAGGTACCTCTGATGCTGTTCACATCACTCAGGCTGGCTGAGCTGGCGGCGGGAGGCTGCCAAGATGTTGCTCTGGCCTTCAGCCAGCAGCACACAACCCGAGAGGAAGGGGCTGTTGTTACAGCTGGAGGAAGGGACACAGGGTTCAGGCACAGCCATTTGAGAGTCCATCCTGGGAGACTTTGCCCCAGGGCAGCAGGGTCTTTGCAGTAGGACAGTCCTGTGGAATCCATCCACTTGTTTGTCTCCGAGGTGAACTGGACACTGTGCTGAACTTCAGTTGTAAGATCTAGTCACTGTAGGGGATAAAATGCCAAGCTCTGAATTCTTGATTGTGTTATGAATAGGAGCTAGTCAGCCTGCCCTACAGTGCTGCTTCCAAGATGTTGGCTGTGTTTGTGTACAGTAGCCAAGTGACTATTGCCAAGACAGGATTCCAGCTTCCAGCTCGGAATATTCCTAGTGTCTGTGAAATACAGGCCCTTTCTTCTGTGACAGCAGAGCTGCTCTGTCCCTCAGTGCTTGTGTCCTGTCTGGCTTTGGTAAGGAGGAGCAGGATTCTCTCCCAGGCCAGGGCATTTTCATAGAATCAAGGAACCCTGGAGTGCTTTGCCTTAGAAGGGACTTTAAAGCTCATCCAGTTCCAACCCCTGCCACGAGCAGGGACACCTTCCACTGGAGCAGGGTGCTCCAAGCCCCTGTGTCCAACCTGGCCTTGAGCACTGCCAGGGATGGGGCAGCCACAGCTTCTCTGGGCACCCTATGCCAGCGCTTCAGCACCCTCACAGGAAAGAGGTGCCTAAGAGCTCATCTCAGCCTCCCCTCTGGCAGGTTAAAGCCATTCCCCTTGGCCTGTCCCTGCAGGCCCTTGTCCAAAGTCCATGTTGAACCCTGGGGAGCATCCCTGGGAGGAGGGTGCCCCAGCAGGCAGCAGCCATGAAGGTGCTCCAGTGTTAGCTTTGGTTTACTCCCAGGTGTGTTTAAGCCCCAATTTACGCTGTCTTTCCGTTAGATCCCAACGGCTGCAGTTTGATGTGTCCTCTCCCAATGGCATCCTGCTCTTCCGAGAAACGAGTAAAATGATAACTACATATGGTGAGTGTGCAGGGGGATCTGGGCAGCCTTGCTCTGCCCTTGAGTGCTCTGCTTGCTCGGGGAGGGAGGGCTGGGGCCCTTGCCAGCTCAGACAGCCTGGGCTGGGAAGCAGTGCCAGCCTGCTTGCTGAATGCATGCTTAGATACAGGGAGATGCTTCTGCTTGAGGTGCTGGGTAGGCAGGCGAGCTGCAGGGCAGGGTATTTGCCATGGAAAATGAGGAAGAAAATGCCAGCAAGGAGCAGGAGCCCAGCTGAGCCCCTTGTGAGTATGCAAGGTGACATGGGCGAGCCTGTCCTTCCGCTGTCCTGTTTCCACAGCAAAGTGACATGCGGTCACATTCTGCCGTGGGTCCTAGTAGAGCCACACTGAACTTGCAGCGGGTTCCTTAACCTTTGGCTGGGGGAATGAGTCTTTGACACTTCCTGCTGACTCCTCAGTCATTCCTTATGGCTCCACTTTTTGTTTTCCCTGCTCCCTGGGGGAGAAAGGGTTTGGATGAAATACTGAGTCCGCTTCTGTGCTCACGCAGGAAATCGTATCCTAACGCTTGGGGAGGTCCCAAAGGATCAAGTCTATGCCTTGAAGCTCAAGGGGATTTCCATCTGCTTCTCTATGCTGAAGGCTGCACTGAGCGGGAGCTACGTCAACTTTGGGGTCTTCCGTCTGTACGGGGATGATGCACTGGACAATGCCTTGCAAACCTTTATCAAGCTTCTGCTTTCCATCCCTCACAGTGACCTCCTGGTAAGCTGAACCCGTGGTTAGCAGGGGAAGGCAGGTTTGGAAGATTACACGCCAAAGGAATACTTTAATCACAGAGAGGAGTGAACTTGTGCCGCTGCCCGGAAGCACAGCTCTAGGCAGAGGCCAGGAGGAACTTGCAGCTCCCGGATGCACAGCTGTAGGTGCTGCGTGAAGGCTGCAACACCCCCAGCAGCCGAGGACCCCCCCCCGGGCAGCCCTGCTGCTGCTCAGCTCTGCAGCGTGGTGCACTCCAAGGCTCAGCACAGCAATTAGCAGAATAATTCCTCCTCCATCTGTAAAACACTTCCTGTGAGTGAGGGATTGTTCTTGCCTCTGTTGCCTGTGGGCAGAGATCTGGATGCCTCAGCAATTAAAACATAACCTGCTTGCTGATATCCGCCTACAGTCTTGCTCTGATCCACACCTCATACAGAAACCCATTTTGCCCCAGAGCTTGGAGGCCCCATCAGCACAGGCAAAATACTGAGGAGAGAGGGCAGCAGATACTCCTCCCTTACTACCATAGCAGGATCTGAAAGGAGTTGTTGCCATCTCTCAGAGCGCATTTGGCACGTTCTTGATTTAATATACCAGTGGCCAAACCATTGCCCTTTGGAGACGGGGCCCCTGGTCTGGGGGCTGCTGAGAGGTCTGTGGCCCTGCTGCTGAGCACAGCACCCTGCATGTGGATTCTGATGTGAGCTGGCGCTCTGCTTGGACACCTGGGGAGCCAGGCCTATCTCTGCATCTCCAGCAATGGCATGTACTCACTCACACTCCCCATTTAGAAACAAGCAGAGCAGGGGGGAGAGATGTTTCGATAGAACAGCGTTGGGAACCTGCTGGCCCATGGTTGAGCCTGTTTGAAAGGCTTTTAGTGGTGGAGAAGGGTGGAAAACATGTTGGCCCATCGGTTCTGCTGTGAGAGGTTGGTTTGTTCTCTTTCCAGGAGATGCAGTAAGCAGTTCTCAGATGATTAATGAATGGGTTGGGTCTAGCAGAACACTTTAACTGGTGGTTACAAGCTAGGATGAGAACTTAGAAGTCTTTTTCTCTCCCTTTCTCTGCAGGATTATCCCAAGCTCAGCCAGTCATACTATTCCTTGCTGGAAGTTCTTACCCAGGACCACATGAACTTTATAGCCAGTCTGGAGCCTCATGTGATCATGTACATTCTCTCTTCCATTTCAGAAGGTCTCACTGCACTAGGTAACTACTTCTGCTCTCTGTGGTGCTCTTAGGGCTTTGATTTGGAGGTGGGGAAATACTTTGGATTGCTTTGAAAGCATTTCATGTATCTGCTAGCATTTCAGGCTACCAGGTAAGTCAAGACATACCTTGTCAATGGGTGGAGGAGTTTCACCTCTGTTAAAGCTGGAATATTAGAGATAGTTCATATCACAGAATCACAGAATGGGTTGTGTTGGAAGGGACCCTAAAGCTCATCCAGTTCCACGCCCCTGCCATGGGCAAGTACACCTTCCACTAGAAGAATATCAGTGAGGAATATATAAATATATCAGAAGATGTAGCAGTGAGGAAGTTGCTGACCTGTTTAGGGTTAGGTTCTTGCTTGCAAAGCCCCTAGAAGGACCCACATGAGTGGTGATGTTTCCCTGGGAGCCCACCCAGTGCATCTGAGCGAGGGAAAACGCTGGCAGTGCCCCAACCCCTCCCTGCTTTCCTGTTCTTGCAGACACCATGGTTTGCACAGGCTGCTGCTCCTGTTTGGACCACATTGTCACCTATCTCTTCAAGCAACTCTCTCGCAGCACCAAGAAGAGGAGCACACCTCTGACCCAGGAGAGCGACCGCTTCCTGCACATCATGCAGCAGCACCCGGAGATGATTCAGCAGGTAAAGACCTGGCTGGTGTTGGGCCTTGTTGTGACACGGCACAGGAAGCTCCTTGAGTTGTCTTAGCATGATGTAATGTGGGGGCTGCATGACCCCTGCTCTACACCCCCAGGCTTTTCTGGAGCAGAAAGGTGTTATTTTTGCTAGTATTGCATCTTTTCTGTATCCATCTTCTGGTAGGTCTGGTTCAGTGCCATGCTTCAGGGCTGTGCTTCCTTGTGCAAGGAACACCATTTTTTCATTTCAGATACAAAAGGAAGTAGCCAAAAATGAGCTTTTGCCTGTTTTTTTTAAATGAAAGTTACAGAAAGTGCTGGTGGTTGACAGGAATGAAGCTGTGAAATGTACCTTCAGCCAGAGAGCACGTGTGGTTCCACTGCTTTAACAGATGTGAGCCAGGGTTTGTGTAAATCCCTGGAACAGCTCAGTGGTGCCTGTGCACTCGGAGCAGAGCAGGCACCAGCAGGTCCCTGTGCTTGACAAGGCTGGAACAGACCTTAAAGTTCATCTGGCTGGACTGGAGGAAGCTCCCCAGGGCACCAGAGCCTTTGCTCCCTGCATTTAAGCACTTCATTGCCTTGTTTAAGTGAAGATGAGACAATTCCCCCGGAGTACATGGCCTGCCAGCCTTCAGCACCTCCTCCATGTGCTGTCAGTGAAAGATCTGCACCTTTTGATGGGGGTTCCAGGTCCTCATCCTGTCCCACAGTGCTGAGAGCTCCAACGCTGGGGGCATCAAAGGCGAATCATTGCTCCCGAGCTGCACAGTGCTGTGATGAGGACAGCTGGGACGGAAGGGCTGGATTTAAACCCTCACTTTCCTTCTTCCAGATGCTGTCAACAGTGCTGAACATCATCATCTTTGAGGACTGCAGGAACCAGTGGTCAATGTCGCGGCCTCTGCTTGGCTTAATACTGCTCAATGAGAAGGTAAAACATCCCACCAGGCTCCCGGCAGGGCTTGAGGGCTTGGATGAGGCTGGAGGGAGCAGAGCCATGTCAGAGAGGGGCTGGGGCAGTCGGGTTGCGTGTCAAGGGAAGGGTGTGCAGCCCTTGGCAGCAGCCTTGGCACTGAGGAGTCCTGGTACTTTGAGGGCACCAGGAGTCACCTGAGGAGCTCTGACACGTTTCCTCCCTCCTCCGAAGAGCCTGGCCACAGCTCTGTCCCAAAGCCACGGTGGCTGTTGGTTCCTCTGGGAATTAACCCGTCCTTCTCTTGTCCTGCCCAGTATTTCTCGGACTTGAGGAACAGCATAGTGAACAGCCAGCCCCCGGAGAAGCAGCAGGCGATGCACCTCTGCTTCGAGAACCTCATGGAGGGCATCGAACGCAACCTCCTGACCAAGAACAGGGACAGGTGAGTACGAGCCGGAGCTCTCCTGGGAGCAGCGCCGCGGAGGCTCCGCTCTGACGCGCTGCTCTGCCTCTGCCTTAGGTTCACACAAAACCTGTCGGCCTTCAGGCGGGAGGTGAACGACTCCATGAAGAACTCCACCTACGGCGTCAACAGCAACGACATGATGAGCTGACATCTCCCAGGCCCCCTGTACAGAGCAGCATCTCTTTGGCCTGGCCCAGAGGGGTAACCATTTCCGATGGAAAGAAAAGAGGGCGTTTCTAAATCCCTGCTCTTCCCCCAGGGCTGGATTGCGGCCCACCCATGCTCCACATCCCAGGGGAGGAGGGAACAGGAGGGGTTGTTGAGCTCACGGGGCAGGGTGCTTCTGTTTCCATGGGAAGGGGGTGGAAGGGCATAAAGCCAAGTGCAAGAATCCAACGTCTCCCAGCCCGAATGTCTGCGTGGAACGCCAGCGCTCTGCTGCAGTCTGCCTTGTATAAAACATGTACATTTTTTCATAACATTTTGAACAAGGTTTATATTGACTCAGTTTAAAAAAAAGAAAAAAAAGGAAAAAAAAAGAAAAAAAAGGCAAAAAAAAAAAGGCAAAAAAGGGTGTGATTGGGCATTTTTACAGTCCTGGTGCACCGGTGCTGCGGGAGGGTGTGAGTGAGGAAAGCGTGGCCTGAAGCTTTACTGGGCGAGGGGTGGCTGTGTGAAAGTGCAGAGATCTATTTAGTGACAGTGTAGAGAGAAATGAAAAAACCACAAAAAAACAACACAAAAACCGAGAAAAAAAGGAAAAAGGCAAAAAAAAAAAAGAAAAAGGCATTGTAAAATTCCAAAATGTATATTTTTTCTTATTAAGCCCCTTGAAATCACAACTCCCCCCCCCTCCTGCCCTTGTTATTAGGAACTCTAAGCCATGGCGCGTGCTCTCTCATTCGTGCTTGCTTGTGGGTGTCTCCTGTCCCCCCGCTGTCGCAGCAGTAGGCACTGTCCCCTCGTCACCCTGCTCCCCCAGGGCCCTCGCCTCCCTCCGCTCCCCCTTTCTTTTGGCTTTTAGGGTGTCTTTTCTCCCCCCTCAGCCGAGCAGGAGCACAGGGGGATGCTCCCGGGGCCCGCAGCACACGGAGGAGGGTTCTTAATAACAAGGTTTTGCCTCGCATGAAGTATCCCCCCTTTGGGAACGATTCCATTCTCTTTGGAAGCCACCACAATGTGTTTTGGATCTCAAACCCACTTCTGGAGGAAAGCAACGGGGGAGGGAACCTGTTTGCCTTGTACTTTTTCCACTATTGTTGCTGCTAGTCGTGTGCATCCCCTTGCTCAGCTCTTCCCACACTCTGTCCTCGGGGCTCTCGTTTCTCTGCCCAGGCACCACCTTCTCAGTTTATTTTATTTCCTTCATTTTCTTTTTCTCCCCGTTTTCTTCCCTCTGGCGCCTGTGTGTTGGGTCCTTTCCGCGTGAGCAGATTGCTGGTTGACTTGTAAGGGTGTTTGCTGCATACAGTGTAAGCATTGTGACTGCAAATAAAATTTCAATGGTTTCTACTGAGCAGTGTCTGGGCCTGACTCAGCTGGGGCTGTGTAGGGAGATGAAGCAGAGGCAAAGGGCAGGGTCCTGCCCCTCTGTCAGGGCACTCTCAAGCACAGGCTGAGGGAGAAGGGCTGGAGCAGCTCTGCTCTGGAGCCAGGCTGAGCGAGCTGGGCTGGGGCAGCCTGGAGAAGAGAAGGCTCCTGAAGGGGAAGACCTGAGAGCAGCTCCAGTGCCTGAAGGGGCTGCAGGAAACCTGGAGAGGGGCTTGGGACAAGGGATGTAGGGACAGGCCAAGGGGAATGGCTTTAACCTGCCCAAGGGGAGATGAGATGAGCTCTGAGGCAGAAGCTCTTCCCTGTGAGGGTGCTGGGATTTCAGGCCCCGTCCAACACAGCCCATTCCAGGTCTCTGATTCACCTGAAATCCCAGCGCATTCGGCGCTTTCTGGTCCAGGGCACGTCCCACAGCTGAGCACAGGGAATCCCTTCAGTGTAAAAACGTTTATTTACAGTCTGTGATGGGGTGGGTGCAGCCCTGCCCGGCCCCCGCCTGGCCACGAGCTCCCTGCCCCTCTTGGAGCTCGTCCCGTCCTCATCCCGATGCCGCTTCCTGAGCTGCCGGCTCCCTGGCCCTGCTGTAGACAGCGCTGTTCCATCCCTCCCTGTTGCGAGCGATCTCGATGGCGAAGAACTGGATCCTGGTGGCTGAGAGAGGAGAGAGGAAGAACCTGAAGTGCTCGGGATGGTGGGGTCAGCTCTGCCCTAGCGCAGGGCTGGGCAGGGGGGCTCAGCTCAGCTCTGCCCTAGCGCAGGGCTGGGTACAGGGGCTCAGCTCTGCCCTAGCGCAGGGCTGGGCAGGGGGGCTCAGCTCAGCTCAGCTCTGCCCTAGCACAGGGCTGGGCAGGGGGGCTCAGCTCAGCTCAGCTCTGCCCTAGTGCAGGGCTGGGCAGGGGGGCTCAGCTCAGCTCAGCTCTGCCCTAGCGCAGGGCTGGGCAGGGGGGCTCAGCTCTGCCCTATCCCGGAGCTCCGCGCACCGAAGATGCTGTTGTCCTCGGTGTAGCCGCCGCGGCAGTCCAGGCGCAGCAAGGTGCCGTAGTTGAAGTCCTCCACCAGCCCCTGGAAGCGCAGGCAGAACGGGCGCCACTTCTGGGGAGGACACGGCCCAGGTCACACCGGGGGAGGGCAGAACCCGGGTGAGCCCCCCCCGCTGCCCCAGCACCTCCTTGGCAGGCTCCGACTTCAGCTCCTCGGGGTCCAGCACCTCCACTCGCAGGTCCCCGAAGGCGGCCCTGAACTCGCGGTAGATTTGGTCATCGACCTTGGTCAGGTTCAGGAACTTGGGGTCGACGGAGGAGATGAGCTGCGCCGAGACACCGCAGGGTTAACGGCGGCCCCCCCGGCGCCCCTCTGAGCCCCCCCCCGGACTCACATTGAAGTAGATCTCGGCGTGCTGATGGGCCTTCATGGCCCAGGCCAGCTCCACGCGGGGCTGCGGAGGCAGGAGCGGGGTCAGGTGCAGGATGGGGGCAGTTTGGGGGTGATGGCGGGGGGGGCTGTGCCCACAGAGACCGCCAGGGTCGGGCGCTCACAGGCGATGCTGTGGATCCGCAACCCCCAACGCGCCCCGGCTGAGCTCTGAGCCCCCTCGGGGCTGGGGACCCCCAGGATTGGGGAGCTGGAGCTCAGGCAGCTCCGAAAGTAGGGACCCCCCTGCGCTGCCCCCCCCCCGGGCTGGGACCCCCGCTGCATCCCAGCACTCACATCATTGCCGAAGGCCTCGGCCGGCAGTGACAGAGCGTGAGCGGCCGCGGCGGCCTCGCCGGGTCCCTGCGCGGGGAGAAGCTGCTGAGGGACGGGACGGGGCGGGCCGGGACCCCCGGACCCCGACCGAGACCCGGCCCCGGCGCCCCCGGACCCACCAGCCCCGCCGCCGCCATTGACAGCGCTGACGAAAGAGGCTCCGCCCCCCCGCGCGTGCGCCCGCGGGGACACGGGAACGGGCACCGGGGGGCACGGGGAAGCGTGCGGGGTGGGCAGGGAGCGGTGGTCCAGGGCAGCGGCATCAGTGCAGGAGGCACACGGCAGGATGCAGTGGTCCAGGGCAGCAGCATCAGTGCAGGAGGCACACGGCAGGATGCAGTGGTCCAGGGCAGCAGCATCAGTGCAGGAGGCACACGGCAGGATGCAGTGGTTCAGGGCAGCGGCATCAGTGCAGGAGGCACACGGCAGGATGCAGTGGTCCAGGGCAGCAGCATCAGTGCAGGAGGCACACGGCAGGACAGGGTGGTCCAGGGCAGCGGCATCAGTGCAGGAGGCACACGGCAGGATGCAGTGGTCCAGGGCAGCGGCATCAGTGCAGGAGGCACACGGCAGGACAGGGTGGTCCAGGGCAGCGGCATCAGTGCAGGAGGCACACGGCAGGACAGGGTGGTCCAGGGCAGCAGCATCAGTGCAGGAGGCACACGGCAGGATGCAGTGGTCCAGGGCAGCGGCATCAGTGCAGGAGGCACACGGCAGGATGCAGTGGTCCAGGGCAGCAGCATCAGTGCAGGAGGCACACGGCAGGATGCAGTGGTCCAGGGCAGCAGCATCAGTGCAGGAGGCACACGGCAGGACAGGGTGGTCCAGGGCAGCGGCACCAGCGCAGGAGGCACACGGCAGGATGCAGTGGTCCAGGGCAGCAGCATCAGTGCAGGAGGCACATGGCAGGACAGGGTGGTCCAGGGCAGCACCATCAGTGCAGGAGGCACACGGCAGGATGCAGTGGTCCAGGGCAGCAGCATCAGTGCAGGAGGCACACGGCAGGACAGGGTGGTCCAGGGCAGCAGCATCAGTGCAGGAGGCACATGGCAGAAGCTGCAGGGCAGGGTGGCCCAAAGAAGGGCTCCGTGACCTGTGACATGCCAAGCAGTTCACACACTCATGAGGGGTCTGATTGACTCCAAGGGTGGGTGCTATTAAGATGTGAAGGGTGCTCATTGGCTGATTGATTGATTGATTGATTGAATGATTGACTGATTGAGTGATTGATTGAGGCCCTCTACCTGTATAAGCTGCCTTGGTTGGGGCTGCTGCTGTGTTTGGATGCTGCTCTTGGGTTGGTAATTGCATTGTAGTGACTGAGGGTGAGTTCTCTAACTCAGTGCTGGCTCCTGGGCTTCTGGGGTGAGCTGCTGGGGTTGGGGATCCCTCAGCAGGGGGTCCCCAATGAGCAGCTCCATGTCCTTTACAGACAGCATTGACATGGGCAGGCCTGTGCCTGCGATCTGGGGTGAGCATCAGCAGCATTGCTGGGGGCTGCTCCCCCTTTCCCTGTACTTCCAGCCTGGGGTTACTGCTCTGCCTTTTGTGCCTGCAGCTGAGTTGTGAGCAGGACTCCTGCATCCACCAGTCTCGCCATGGAGCAGGGACCCCGCACCCCTAATCCCAGCCCTCCCCTTCTCTCCAAGCAGGAGCAACGGCTCCCCTGAGGATCCCCTTCCTGCAAAACAGGGGCTGGTTGTGGTCTCTTTGCACCATGGGGGTTAACGCTCATTGCCACAGCTGGGAGGGAAAGGGGGTGATGGGAGGGGGGAAATGCAGGGTTGGGGGCTCTTTGGGCTGGGGGCTCCCACATTCAGCCCCATCCCTGCCAGGGCGAGGAGCCAGCCGGGGCAGGAAACCAGCAGCAAAGAAGCAGCAGGAGCTGTGTCAGAGCCCATCCAGGTACCGGGTGTGGGGCAGTGGGGTGGGTGTGAGGGTCCCTGCAGGGCTGGGAGGGGACCCGTGTGTGCCCCTGTTTGAGTGGGGCTGGATCCTCCGCAGCCCTAAAGCAGGGTCAGGGACTCACACGGGGCCTTCTCCTTCGCTTCCAGCCGCAGAGGAGCCCTGAATGCTGCTGCTTTTGGGTTGCCCCTGCCCAACAAATGCTGTTTTGCGCCGCTGGCTCCGTGCTGGGGATGGAGGGGCTGTGGGGGCCATGGGAGCATCCTCCATCCCTGCCAGGGCCTTCAAGGAGCTCTGAGCCTTCTGCCCACCCTGGAGCATCCTTCCCCTGGGGCTGGGGGGCCGGCAGCAGCCCCCCTACCCCTGTCCTGTGCAGGGCAACAAGAGGTGCTTGTGAATAGGAGACAAAAGGGGATTACAGAGCAGCAGGGAGATGATTATAACCCATTGACCTGGCGTGGGCCGGAGGCAGCAGGTATTGGTGGAGGGTCTGGGGGGGCTGCTGGGTCCCAGATTGGCTCTGAGAGAGAAGCTGAGCCACCACAAAGGCTTTGGTCTCCTCCAGGTGTGGGGCAGGAGGGGGGGGGGGAATGTGGGGCTGGGCCTGCCCCCTTTGGGCTGCTGGGATGGGGAGGGGGGCGAGGGCCTGTTCCCCATGGGCTCTGGCCTTTGAGGCCACACGCAGGACAGGAGGCTGTGACAGGCACCGCTGGCCCTGTCCCTTCATCCCTTCAGCCTCCCCTCGCCCTGCAGGGGCTGCTTGCACAGGCCCCCCTCCCTGCTGCTGCGCTGACAGCTCCACAGGACCCCTGCCCCAGCCCGGGGGGGGGCACGTCAGGGGTGATGACGGCTCCGTGGCCATCCATCATCCCCATGGCTGGAGGCGCTGAGCCCCGGCCCTGCCCCGTGCCCCACCCGGGGATGCTGAGCCCTGGGACTGGGATGTTTGCATGTCCCCATGCGGGTGAAAGGGGGCCCCTGAGTTTGGGGGTGCCACGGTTGTGGGTCCAGAGCCATAAGCTGTGTTTGGGCTGAACTCCTGGCCCTGGAGGTGAGAAGGCAGCAGGGGAGGTCTAATTGGGGTCGTTAGCACTGAATCAGGCCGCTACCCTCCTGTGGATGGGTGTCTTGCTGATCCCCACTGTCCTTCCTCATGGGCCCCAATGCCCTGCTTTGCACTGATGGGGAAACTGAGGCTACAAGCATGGGGGCAAGCGGTGTCCACACTAAACTCCTCATGTCCCCCCTAAGGGCCACCCCACGGACGTGTTTTACCCCCCAAGGCACCACCCCAGCTCCCTGCTGAGGTATTTATAATGCACTTTGCACCTCCCTGACCCAGCAAATGGAGTGTGGAGCATGCTCAGCCCCTGCTCCCGGTGGGGAGAAGATACCCGGTGGGGTGAGAGCAGGAAGGGGGGAGCTGTGGGAGGCAGTGGGGTCCCCAGAGCCCCCGCACTGAACCAGCTGGTTAAATGCTCGGCACCTTGGGGCGAGGAAGTTGACAAGAGGCATCCTCGGTGCCAGGGCATCTCTCCCTGCAGCAGGGGATGGCACCATCACCGTGCCCCAGCGCATCCCAAACCCGGCATCTCCCCGTCTGTGGGGTGAGACGGGGGCTTTGCCACCCCCGGCCATGGGGACACTCCTACCCTGTCCCCTCCTCCCGCCTGACCCCTGCGAGGTGGGATCCTCCTGATCCTCCTTTCTGCTCCGGAGCTGCTGCTGCCTCCCGGGGCAGGCCCGGCCCCTCTTCGCCCGGGCTCTCCCCACCTTTAAAGGCTGCCCCTTGGTGCAGCTCCCAGCACCAGGCTGGGAGCAGGAGGGCGCTGGCAGCTCCATGGAGCCCACCCTTGACCGTGGGCAGCCCTGCCCTGCCCGCAGCCGCTTCTCCCGTTAGCGCTGCCGCAGGGAGATGCGAACCAGGGACTAAGCCGGGGCCGGGCCGCTGATGGGGCTGGGACGAAGGGGACAGGACGGATCTGGATGCCCCCGAGGTGTAGGAAGTCCCGGGGCTGGAGGAGGAGAGGACCCGGCTTTAGCTCCTGCCCCATGCTCCATCCCCGCTGCTGCTCCACTGGTGCCTGGCTCTCACCCGGCTCTGTCCTCGGCCGCCGGAGGAAGGAGGGGACCGGCTGCACCCTGGGGATGCGCCGGTGGGGAGGGAGGCTCTGAGGCTTGCGGACACCGTTTCATGCCGTGCCCGGGGGGCTTCGAGGAGCGCCATGCAGCCCATCAGCCTGCAGAACCTCTCCATGTAAGCCCCGCGCTGCCGGTCGCAGTCCCCTGAGACCCGGGTCTAGCGGGAATTTGTCCTTGACCACAGCAATTCCTTGTGGTGGGAAGGGGGGAGAAAGAAAACAACTGACCCGAGCCAAGCGCCCTGTTCTCTCCCTCTCTCTTTGTCTCAGATGCTTCCAGCTCCTCATGTTCTCCTGTCAGACGCAGGTAGGTGGATGTTTTACTAACCCCATGGCACACCGCAGCGCCGGGCCGGGTGAAGGCACCAGCTCTGCCATCCCCTGAGCTAACCCTTGGGGAATGGGGACATTCCTTTGGGATGGCCTTGGCTTTAGTGGGTGGCTTTCCCGCTGCATGCCCACCTCAAGTGGGTCTCAGCTTCCAGCCAGGGGAGGGATGCTGTTGTATCCCCAGTGGGGTTCGCTGTGCCCATCAGCCTGGCCTCTGGGCTGCAGTGGGTTGACACAGGGGTATCCAGAGCCTGGAGCTGTCCCGTTTCCCATCCTCCAGAGGCTGCGGTGAGGTCAATGGGGAAGCTCTCCCAGGGCAGATCCTTGCTCAGGGCAGGACATGCCAAGTCCATCAGCCTCGAGCCTCCAGGACCCGGCTCTGCCCTGGCTGGTGCTGAGCTGCTGCCGAGGGGGTTAATGGGGCAGAGCAGGGATTGGTCCCCCCAGCAGCGGGTGTTGCGAGGTTTGACACCCCCCTCCTTTCCCCCCCCTTAGGCTGCTCCATCCCTTTTTGTGTGCTTTAGAAAGGCAGCGGCTATTAAAATGCACTGTTCCATACGAGCACCCTCTGCTCCAGTGCCCGAGCAACCCCCCCAGCAGCCCTAACAGCCTCGGGACCCTCTTTCTTTGCTGTTTGCCTTCTTTTTCCCGAGGTGAACACTCCTATTCCTTTGGAAACAAGAGGGGAAGGAACCGCCTTTGATGGAGAGCTCCCCCCAGCCCCCTCCTTGGCCAGCCCCAAAGGCTTTAAAGTAGATCCTGGCAGGAAATGAGTCCCCAGGCACACACAAAGGTGGGGGTGTGGGGGGCTGTGGTGTGTCAGGCAGTGCCCCCCATCCCTCTGCTCCCTATCTGTGAGAGGAGCCAGGGCTGGATCCCCCTGCCCAGCACGGGGATGCTGCAGCGCTGGGATGTGGGGCACCGGGTCCATGCACCCGAGGGATGTTGTGCACCCCAAACCAGGCAGCCAGACCCCAAATACTCCCCATGGGATGAGCTCCAGGGAAGCAGCAGGAGATGTTCACCACTGGAGTCTATTGCCTGCCCAGAGCTCCTTTGGGAGCTGGTTTTCAGGCTGGGGTTGATGTTCCTTGGCTTGGCTGCCCCAAGTCCCAATTCCCATAGGATTAAACCAGGTTTTCTCTTGAAATATGCATGGTTGGGGTCTGAAGTGGGGCTGGGGGCTGAGCACCAGCACTAACCCCCCCCCCTCCAGCTCATCTGCAGCAATCATCTGCTGCTTATCACAATTGCCCTCATGTGCTTGTGCTGCCTGGTTGGCGTAAGTGATGCCAGGTCCTTGAGGTGGTTTACTCTGTTCTGCGGGTGCATGCCCAGGGTGGGCTGGGAGGGGACAGCTCCATCCCTTGGGTACCCTGCCTGGCTTTAGGTGGGCCTCAATCCCAATGAGGGATCCACAAGCTCTTGCATCCCAGCCTGTCCTCAGTGCCTGCCTGCGAGCAGAGGGTGCTGCCGGAGCAGGAGGTGCTGCTGAGTGCCCATGGCAGGGGTTAGGGACTGGATGAGCTTTAAGATCCCGTCCAAGCCAAACCATTCCCAGCTCTTCTGATATGGCCGGGCAGCAGCTCAGCCCCACTCCCGAGGGAGCACACCAGGAGCGCATCCTTCCCCGTGAGCCTCTGCATCCTCCTCATCCAGGGGATGCAACGCGAGTTCTCTGCCTCTCCCTGTGCTCCGTGCCCATCGCCCTGGGGTCCAAAGCATCTCCCCAGTGCCCTGCTCACTGCTCCAAGGCCGGCGGTGGCCGGGGGCTGTCCCTCACCCGTAGCGGTGGGTGCAGCCCCGTGTCCCGGTTCTCCCGCCCCTCGCATCCGCTCTCCAAAGCAAATTGATTTTGTTTTTCCCTTTGTAAACAAAGGGGCAGAATCAACCGTCTCCTAATTTTAACCAGTACGTGAGGGACCAGGGCGCCGTGAGCGACCAGCTGAGCCGCCGCCAGGTCAGGGAGTACCAGCTCTACAGCCGGACCAGCGGCAAGCACGTCCAGGTCACCGGCAAGCGCATCACCGCCACCGCCGAGGACGGCAACAAGTTTGGTGAGGACCAGAGAAGGGCTGGGGAACAGGGGGGAGGTTTGGTTGCTCCTGCTGCTTTCATACCCCCCCGAGAACCCCGGTGTGAGCACAGTTCCCGACCAGCCAGCCCTGGCCCCGAAGCATCCCAACTGAGGCATCTCTCCGGTCCCACACAGTGTTTATAAGCTCCGTATTCAGCACTTTTGCTTTCTAATCTCTCCCCAGCATGGGATGGATTTTTCCTGGTGGAGAATCACCCGATCCTGGCATCAGCCTCCTAAATATCCACACGTGGAGGGCAGCATGGGCAGAGCCCACCCAGAACCATAGAATCAACTAAGTTGGAAAAGACTTTTAAGTTCATCAAGTCCAGCCATAGCCATCTCTCAAAGCCCACCACCTTTCCCCATAGGGTTTTCTGGGCACCTCCAGCCCTGACACCTCACTGATGGGCACCACAGCCCCCCAGAGGCATCTGAAAGCTTTGGGAAAGGTGTTTTTAAGCCTGGTGACCAGTGAGGACCATTCCCACCTTCCCAGGTCCTTCCCTGCCAGCTCAAGAATGCAGGACCCACCGGGTCATTGGTTTCAGTGTCAGGTCCCAGCCTTTGCAGCCACTTGTGTGTTGTAGACAAACAATGAGGATGAGGATCATTAACCCACTGGGCGCTGGACTCAGTCTGGCCCTGGAGAGCCCATTGAATGGTGACAATGTGCATGTGCTGGGGGGGATGAAGGGGCTGGTGCTGTCACCGGCGCCTTCATCAAACGCCTGGTTTGAGTCTGTTGGGTTTTAACAAAAGGCTCTTCAGCATCATGGCTGGGGAGCATCCCGGGCTGCAGGGGCTCAGCATCCTTTTGGCCCCACAGCCAATGGGCTGGGAGGGATGCTGGGGGTGAGATAAAGGCAGGGGCATGGAGGGGGTGGGGAGTGGTAGCTCAAGGGGTGTACCACAGCCTCCATGGGACACATCCCTGTTGCTCCCCTTGCTCACAGCCAAGCTCATTGTGGAGACGGACACCTTCGGGAGCCGCGTCCGCATCAAGGGGGCCGAGAGTGAGAAGTACATCTGCATGAGCAAGCGGGGCAAGCTCATTGGGAAAGTGAGTCCTGCCCCCCCTGCTCACCCTCTGCATGCCTCCATCCCCATGGCTCAGCCTGGACACCCACTGAGGGGCTGGAGGGGGATGCTCGGCCAGTGTCCCCAGTCACGGGGGCTGAGCTGGAGCAGGAGCACGGCTCTGGATGCTTCCAGTCCCCCTTCTCGCTCAGCACCATGCAGCTCAGCCTGGCTCCTGTAAGGAGAAGCCCCGGGGTGCTGGTCCTGGTGCATGGATGGGGTGGGCTGTGCTGTGGCAGAGATGGGGCCCAGGCTTCTGCATCCCAACGCCAAGCCCCCGCCCTCACCCCTGCAGGCACTAAGCACCCTCCTCCTCCTCCCCACAGCCTAACGGCAAGAGCAAGGACTGCATCTTCACGGAGATCGTGCTGGAGAACAACTACACGGCCTTCCAGAACGCGCGCTACGAGGGCTGGTTCATGGCCTTCACGCGCCGGGGCCGGCCCCGCAAGGCCTCCCGCAGCCGGCAGAACCAGCGCGAGGCTCACTTCATCAAGCGCCTCTACCGGGGGCAGCTGCCCTTCCCCAACGCCGAGCGCCAGAAGCAGTTCGAGTTCGTGGGCTCGTCCTCCCCCACGCGCCGCACCCGCGCCCGCACGTGAAGCTCCAGTCCCGCATCCCCCTCCTCGCCCTCACGGACCCGGTCCCCCCCCGCTCCCCCAAAGATGCTCTATTTTTACACTCCTCTTGGAATGGGCCATTGGTGGCTGTAGCTCTGCACTGGGGTCCCCCCATCCCTAGAGCATCCTGTGGTACCCGCGTTCACCACCCAGTGCCTTTGCCCACATCCCTTGGCACCCCCTCAGAAACTCATCCCCAGGCCACCAAGGATTAGGACCAATGGACATGTTCCTGTCCACCATGGACCCAGCGTTTCTGTGCCACGGATGGACAGGATCACAAGACGACAGCGATGGAAATCCCATCTTTATCCCTTGGGTCAGCAGGATGTTGTGGCCGTCGCTGTGAGAGGTGGCAGGGCCTGGTGCTGGGGAGGTGGTGGTCTCTCTGTCTGTCTGTGCAGCTCTGGAGGGGAGGCAAGAGGTGCTTCATGCAGAGCCTGAGGCCAGCACTTGTCTTGCCATGGCCATGGGGTCTCTGTGTTATTTATTGGAGGGGTCTGTGCCCTCTCCAGAGGCACTGGGATGATGGCGGTGTGGGGCCGTGCATGGTGCCCAGCAGGCTCCACTGGCCAAAGAGAAACAACTTTTAGTTTATTTCTAATTTTGATGGGTTTTGTGTGTTCCTAAGTTCTGCTCTTTCCTTTTACAAGTCAGTTTTAGGCCTAAACCGTTAGACTTTGGAGGTGATTTGTGTAAAGGAGGAAACCCTGAGGTGAATAAAAGACTGTTTAGACTGATGGGGCCTGGGGGCATTTTCCTTCCCATGCCGAAGTTTTGTCACAGGCTTTGTGCAGCTCCCCAGTGCTCAGGGCCAGGGGCTGCATGGCAAAAAATGAAGGTGGCTGCTGGAGGGGTCTCCCTGTGTCCCCATCCTTCCCTGTGACCCCCCTCAGCTGGGTCTTTGGGGTGTCTGCTGCATCCTAGTGAGCAGGGCATCGCCCTCAGTGTGGTTCCTAGTGTGGTACCTGCTGTTCCCCCTCAGAGTATCACCCTCAGCACAGTACCTGCTGCAGTCAGCGTGGTACCTACTGCTCTCCCCAGAGCATCACCCTTGACCTGATATCCAGTGTGGTACCCACTGCATCCTGGTGAGCAGAGCATCACTCCTGGCATGGTACCCACTGGTCCCCCCCTAGAGCATCAACCTCAGAATGGTACCCAATGTGGTACCTGCTGCTCCCTTGTCCCGGGGCCAGTAGCTTGCCCACCCCACACGGCCCACTGCTCAGACTGCCCCCCCCCAGCCCGCCCCGTCCCACCCGCCCCCTGTAATTACCTTCCCGTCTGACAATGCCCCGGGAGGTGGCGGCCGGGCCGCGGGGAGGATGTAATCTCTTAACCGGGGCTCACCCAGCCCCTCAAAGCGCCGGCAGCACAAAGCGGGGGGGGACGGGGGTGACGGGACACAGCTGGTGAGGGGGGGTCAGCAGGGAGAAAATTATAACAGTTTGAGTTCAATGGAGCTTTAAAGCAGCGAGAAACGCGAGAGCCGGCAATTAGAGCCGAACAATGCCCGGCGCTGCTGCCCAGGTGTGGCGGGCGGGAATTAGCCCAGGAGCCGGGGTAATTCCACCCCCCCCCATTTCCTTCGGCCCCGCAGCCCCCGCTCCTTGTTCCTGCAGGAATTCGAGACATTCTTGAAAGGAGAAAGCTTTGAGAAAGGAGCCGACAGGGTCCGGACCCTCCCTGCCCCCGCCGCCCCCTCCCCGGTTTAGCCAAAGCTTCAAAGGTAGAGGAGGGCCCTTTGTGTGATCTCCGCTTTAATTTTTCCCCGTCCCTTTCTCTCCCCCCTCTCCTCTTCTCCTTCCCGAGCCCTTCCTCTCTTTTCTTTCAGGGTTTTCCCCTTCCTCCCCTCTCTTTCTTCTCGACCTCCCGGGATAGAAAGGGCTCGGAAGGGTGACTCCTTTTTAATTATGGCCGGGGAGGAAGAAGAAAACCAACCCCTCACGCTGCTGCTTTCTTGTTTTCTGAGGTGAGACCCGGGGCAGGGGGCGGAGGTGGGGACAGCAATGTCTGTGCAGAAAGTGCACTGGAGGGTGTCCCGCCTTTCCCAAGGCTTTGCTCTCCCGTGGGATGCTGCGGGGGGCTGGGATGCTCAGGGGCAGCTCCCCAGAGCAGTCACCCCACTGCAGAGGGGATGGGGACCAGCCTGCTGCCATCCCCAGCCCCATGGTCCTCACTGGCTCAGGGCTCCTGGGGGGCATCACAGGGGTGGCAGGGCCTAGGGTCCCCTGGGACATGGGCTGCTGTCACCAGGGTTCTCTGGGATGAAGCCCAGTGGTCCCGTAGTGCAGCACCAGGGGCAATTTTGGGTCAGGCAGCTGCCTTGTAGAGGGTCTTATCAGCCTTATCCCTCAGGGTGGGGAGGCCAAAGGATGCTCCTACACCTCTTCCTTTGCTTAATGGGGATGAAGGATGGTCCCACACCTCCTCCATCACTTAAGGGTGAAGGATGCTCCTACATCTCCATCACTTAATAAGGGTGAAGGATGCCCCTACACCTCCTCCATCACTCACTGAGACCAAAGACTGCTCCTGCACATCCTCCTTTGCTCAATGAGGATGAAGGATGCTCCTAACACCTCCTCTATTGCTCAGTGAGGCTGAAGGGTGCTCCTGCGCACCCTCCATTGCTCGGTGAGGCTGAAGGATGCCCCTACACCTCCTCCATCTCTCGCTGAGGCCGAAGGAGGCTCCTGCACATCCTCCTTCGCTCGGCTCCAGCCGGTTGCGGCGGGAGGCGGTCGCTGTAGCAACGTGCGGTGCGGCGCAGGGGAGGGGATGCTCGGCGCAGGCATGGCTCCCGGCGGACAGGCAGCCCTGCCTGCAGCGGGCCATGGGCTCCCTTGAAGGTAGGGCCCTGCGACCCTCTTGTCCCCACGCCCTGGGCCCCCAGCAGCCCCTCTGGCAGCTGCCTTTGAAGGGCATCACCGGGATGAGGGGTGACCCTGTGGGGCTGGTGAGCACTGGGGGGGGATTGCTGAGCATGCCTGGGCTTGGCTTTCGGTGGGTGCACACGAGGGTGTGTGGGGCCCGGCTAGCACAGGATGAGTGTGTTCCCAAACTCCTCCTTCCCTCTGGGCACCCCTGGGTGCTGGGATCACGGTGCAGGGGGCTGAGCCCACGGTGGGTGCCGTGGCTGGTTCAGGAGCAGCTCCGGGTGCATGTAGCAGCCGCCGCGGTCGTCTTCATGCTTGAGAAACTGGGTTACAGCGGGGAGGCAGCCGCAGCCGCGGTTATTCATGAACACGGCCCCAGGGGGTGGCCGGTGGGGCTGGGGCTGGAGGAGCCCCTTCAGCTGGGGGGTGCAGCAGCATCTCAGAGCTGAGGCCATGATGCTCTTGGTCCAGCGAACCAGGCTGGCCCTGGCACTAAAGGGCAATCCCCCACCAAGATGAGCATCCGTCGGAGTGTTCATCCCCCCCAGGATGTGCACCCCTGTGTGTGCATCCCTCCAGTATCCCCCTTTTTTCTCCACGTCCCCTCCCCACGCATTCCTGGGTGTGCATCCCCCCTCCCCCAAATGTGCATCCCTGGGCGGGTATCACTCCAGATGTGCATTGCCAGTCATACATCCGCCAGATGTGCATCCCCCAGATGTGGGTCCAGGGGTTCCAGCAGCCCTTGCTTGAACCAGAAAGGAAACTGAGGCAGCAAATAGCATCAATCACTGCAGCAGGGAGAGGACCCAGAAGCAGAACTGCTGTCACCAGGCATCTCTCCCACACAGAGCCGGGAATAGACACCAGCTCCCGGTGCTGCAGCACCAACGCAGGGCCGCCACCCCCGGGGAAGTGGGGGCTCGGGATGTGCAGGCAGCATCTCTCCCCCCTACCCAGCTCCGGGCTCTCCCTGGCAGCACCCAGGGCCAGTTCAGCATCTGCAGAGGTCAGGACTTGATTTTTAGCTGATGCTCCACACCCCTGGGCTGAAATCCCTGCCGTGTCCCCCCTCCAGGGGTGGGTGCCACCCTCGCATCACCCCAAATGCAGATGGGGATGGGGCCACCCTCACCCCCCCGCTCCCATGTACCATGGGTTGCTCAGCGTTGTGGGTGCCGAAACCCCAATCAGTGTGTGGGGAACAGGGGACACCATCCCCAGACTGCAGCAGGGGATGGAGAAGGGGGAGCTGGGCCCCCCCCAGCACCATCCAGGCTCTTCCTGACAGCGGTCAGCGCTGGGCAATCAGGGTCGGTGTCTGTTTTCCTCCCTTTGTGCCGCGGGAGCGAGCGGCGGCGGGAGCGAATACTGCTTCGTCATGATGCCGGCTAATTCTCTCCTTGTTGGGAAAGGGACTGAGCCAGCAGCAGAGGTGGGGAGCGGCGGCAGCACCCACCCAGCCCTGCGCATCCACCCGCCCTGGCACCCAGCGCCGTTATCGGGGCTGCGGGAGGGCGCTGGCGGCAGGAGATAGGCTCAGCTGCGGCTCCCGCTCCCGGATGCCGCAGCGGTGCCTGGGCCGGGGCCAGGGCGACCTACGGTGGAATTTGGTGGCCAAACGAGTACAGGAAGCCAAGGGCGGCCCCCCCGCCGCTCCCCATGGCTGGAGGTACGCGGCGTCCCCGGCGCTAGGTGAGTGGCGTGGCCCTTGCGCGGCTCCATGAGGAGAGGGGCAGGAGGGGGACACGGAGAGGGGACACCTGGGGGGGGGGGCTGTTTATTGGGGATGGCATCGGCCGACCTTTGCTGTCCCGTCCGTTTGCTCTCCCGTCCTTTGCTGCTCGTTCCCGGGGGGTGGGGACAGCCCCAGGCCTTGTTTCTCCCTTTTCTCCCCCCCCCCTCCTTTTTCCTCCCCTCCCTTTTCCCCCGTGCCCCCTCCCCACACCGGCACTGCACAGCCAGATTCCCTTGCCGGGGGGGGACAAGGCACGGTAGGAATGGGAAGGGCGGTGACATGGGGACACGGGTGACCCACAGGTACCCTTCCAAGGCTCCCACCCGTGTCCCCTCCTCAGCAGCACCCCACTGCATCGTGGGACACCCCCCGGCAGAGCAGGGACATCCTCCTGTCTTCCTTCCTTGGGGGCATTGCCATCGGCACCGGGTATCCCAAGGGAGGAGGGCAGCCGTCCCCAGCCCCACTTGTGGAGTGAGTTTGTGGGGTCTCAGTGCTGGTTCTAGGAGGGGGACACCCGCATCCCGCTCTCCCCAAACTCAGGCTGTGAAAGGGTTTGATTCTCCCTATGCTGGGGCTGTGGCCTTTGAGGTCTCACCATGGGCACAGGGTTTTGGACACCCTCCCCGCCCTCGCTCCTCTTGCCCAAATCCAGACACACAGCAAAGACAGAAGCCAAATTCCCATTGCTCCATTGCCATGGAGCATCAGGGGGTTACCTGGGGGAGAAATGGGGGTCAGTGTCTGGCCCCCAGCTCTTGGCCATGGATGGAGCCATGGGGGTCAGCTCCGGCTGTGGGTAGGCAGCGTTAAACCAGCCTGTCCCAGGTAGACCTGGGCCACCAGCTGCCACCTCGGCTGCAGGTAGCCCCATAACCACATCCCACTGCCCCACATCCTGCCAGGCGGGTGCCCAACTGCTGGGCCCCACACACAGCATTGGGGTACTGAGGGACCCCGCACTCCAAACTGGTCGGTGCAGGAGCCCCTCTGTAGCTGTCGGCATCATCAGCCCCACACTGGGAGCCCTCGGTGGATCCCTCTGGCCCCTCTGCATGTGGGATGAGCAGGCTAATCCCGCTTTAATCCCAGATTATGTGCCACGTGAGCCACTGCCCAGAGCAGGCTGCGGTGTGGCCATCGGGGCAGGGGGGCTGGGGAGGGACCCCATCACCCAGGATCTGTAGGGCCACTTCTGGGGGGGATTCATAGGCTCCTATAGGGATGGGAGCCAGGAGAGTGGCTGAGTTAGCCCAGGATGGGAGGAGTGGAGTAGCTGAAGGAGGTGGAAATGCCCCCATCATCTCCAGCACCTGCAGGATGGGGTGGGCGGGTTGCTCCTATCCCCCCCTCTACCCAGGGAAGCTGAGGCATGGAGCATCCCTGTGTCCCTGGGAGGGGACAGGGGCAGGGTGCACGTTATTCCCTTCGGGATGGAAAAATCCCAGGGTCCTGGAGCTGGCAGCTGGTGGCTGTTAAGGCCACTGCTGCATCCCTCGCGCAGTGGCACGGAAGCAATGGGCTGTCAATAGCCGGGTGCTGCTCCGATGGGGAGGGAAAGGACGAGAAACAGGACAAAGGAGGAGCGGCCACCGGGGACACGCGGCGCGGGGACACACGGGCTCCCACCAGCGCCCCCGAGCTCCCGGCGGGGCCCCGTGTGCCTCGGTTTCCCCGGCGTGGGGAGGATGCTCCGTGTGTCTGGCTCGGGGTTGCGTTGGGAGGTGGTGGAGGAGGAGGAGGAGGAGGCCGGGGCTGGGCTGAAGGCACCGGACGCTGCTCCCAGCGCTGTCGGGAACCGACTGTTCAAGGCACTTGTGACCCCACAGTGTCCTCCCCGCCCACTGCTGGCAGGGAGCCGGGGAAGCTGGGGGAGCACAGGGGGGCAAGGCGGGCAGCGGGGAGGAGGAGGAGCGGGGAGGAAGGCCGGGGGTCCCTGCTCAGTGCCCCCCCAGCGGGGGGGGGGCGTGCAGCCTGGCCCCGGAGCCCGGCGCTGATGGCTTTGGCTGCTGTGGAAAGTCAAATCCGGATTTCCTCAGGGTGGGGAGGAGGGAACTGGCCTCTTCCCGATGCAGCGTCACCACGGGCTGTGCTGGAGCCCAGCGAGCCCCCCCCCGCACGTCTGTCCCTCCATCCATCCTTCCTCCAGCGCTCTTCCTCTCTCCCTGCATCTCCTTCCTCTCCTCACTCCAGCCAGCCAAGCTCCGTGGGTACCCTCAGCATCACCCGGGGGGGGGGGGCGGGAGCACGGTGTTCCCACCCCCCGCCCCACCACCCTCCCGACCAGGAAAATCCCAAACACGCTCCGCGCCGGCCTTATCTTGGCGAGCAGGAGAGCGTGTGGGGACCCTGCCAGCGAGATTGGAGAGGTTGCCATGGGGAGGGCGGCTGCCATCGGGGCGGGGGCTCCCTGCGGGGGACAGATAACGGGTCCCCGTGTCCCCAGGCGGGGGGGGGGGCAGTGTCCTTGCTCTGTGCAGCCCCGGCACCCCTCAGACAGCGCTCCTGGCTGGGTCGTGGCAGGTGTCCCTCGTTCCGCTTGTTTTCCTTCCCACCAGCATCCGCATCCACCCATCCCCGCGCCCGCCCTCCAGCCGCTTCCTCTGCTCCCGCTCTTTGCTGTCTCATCCATCCGCTCGGCACCACCACGGTGTCCCCACCGCCAGCGCGCTCCATGGGGCGTGAGCTGGAAGCAAGGGGCTGCCCTGGCGCTGCTGCCGGGAGTGTGAGCTCCTGGTACGGTGCTGCCTCGGTGCCTGTCCCTGTCAGGTCCCGGGGAGCCTCGGCAGGTGCTGGGAATGGGTGTGAGCAGGGGGGTGTTTGTGTCAGGGTGGTCTCAAAGGATGGGTGAGGGCAGTGCTGGAGTCACCGTCCCTGCAAGTGTTCACAGTGTAACCCTCGGTGCCATGGGTTAGTGGTGGCCTTGGCAGTGCTGGGAAGTGGTTGGACTTGATGAGCTTAAAGGTCTTTTCCACCTGAGTTGATTCCATGATGCCAGCCCAGAGCAGCTCCAGCTGCCAACAGAGCCTCCCCATCCCGGCTCAGCCCTCAGAGGAGAGAGTGATGGTGGTACCTTGTGCTGCGCTGGAGGATGCTCCAGGCGTGGTCACGCCTGATGCTTCTCCATTGCTGCATCCCACTGGATGGGCTCTGTGCCCCTGCTGGGAGCTATAGACCAGGGGGACAGTGGCTTGGGGTCCCCAGGGGTGGTGGCATCTCCCCAGTGCTGCACCCTGGGCTCCACGCTGCTGCTGTTGTTGTCGCCTGGATTGCACGAGGTTGTTCCCCTCCCAGAGGAGAAGCGTGGAGGAGAATGGGGAATTTTCCCCTTTGTGTGGGGCATTGTGGGCCCAGAGCACAGCGAGGGCTCAGCACAACGTCCCGCGGCCACCGCTGGAGCCTTCTGGAGGCCACTCGCTGCTGATGGACAAAGGGCTTCATTCCCCCTGCTCCGCTTGCCAGCCCTCGTCAGCAGCCACCGGGGTGGCAGGGACAAGGTTGGGCTTCCCATCGCTGTCATCCTCTAAAGCCGGTGTCACCTCTCTCTTGTCTCCCCTGCAGAGGCAGCACCCGAGCACCCAGAGGGATGTGGAGCCACAGAGGCAGCGGTGAGTGCTGGCATCCCTTGTCAGCCGGCCCTGGGTACACGTTTGGGTCTGGTGTTCTCTGCCCAGCCCCACTGCCCTGGGCCACCTCACCCTGGGGTGCTCCTTGTGCACCCTGGGAGCACCCCAGAATCTCGGCTCTTGTCTTGCAGGACCCTGTGACTGACACAACCCCTCCAGCCCACAGCTGAATGGAAAGACAGCAGAAGGTAAAGGGGGGGGGGAGGCACGGGAAAGGGACTTGGGGACCATGGGCAGGGTGCTGGGGACCATGGGCAGAGTGCTGGGGACCATGGGCAGGGTGCTGGGGACCATGGGCAGGGTGCTGGGTGCATGCAGGCAATGGGAAGCCCTTCATTTAAGGAAGGCACACAGGGGCTGGTGGCCAAGGACAGCAGCAGCATCACCATGGGGTGCTGTTAGCAGGGCCCTGCCTTCCTCCTCCTCCTCCTCCTCCCAGCCCAGCCTGGCAGCACCATCTAGTGGCAACGTGTCCTGGCCCGAGCCACTGTCACCTCTCGGGTGTCCCCTGCCCTGAACCACAACGCTGGAGCAAAGGAGACCCCAGCGCCCATCCCCAAGGACGTTTTGCCCCGGAGCACTGAGGTCCATGGGGCACAGGGGTGTCCCCGGGCCCCCTCTGCCATGCCCCAGGGTCCTGACCATGACCCTGAGCCCCTTCCTGGGCTGGCCTTGCCAAAGATGAGGTTTGCCAACATCTCCCCTTCTCCTTCCAGCAACCACTGACCTCCCCTGGGAGTGTCTGCTCCTCCCGTGGGTCCAGCGTCCCCGGATCACCCTCCAGCATCGTGGTAAGAGGAAACCCACCTCCATCCGTGGGTCGGGGTCGTCCCCAAACCCTCCTCCTCATCCCCAGAGGACGCTAATCTCGATATTCCCTTTCTGCACCCAAAAAACAAAGGCGCTTTTCTTTTTCCAGGCCAAAATGGACAACGAGGTTCTGGGCTACAAGGACCTGGCTGCCATCCCTAAGGATAAAGCGATCCTGGACATTGAGCGCCCCGACCTGATGATCTATGAACCCCATTTCACCTATTCGCTCATGGAGCACGTGGAGCTGCCCCGGAGCCGAGAGGTGAGGGGGTCCCAGGTTGTTCTGGGGGGTCAGGTTATGGACCCCCCCCAATAGTGGGGTCCCATAGGGCAGATGGCTGGAATAAATCACTGCTTGCTCTCCGCAGCGCTCCCTGTCTCCCAAATCCATCTCTCCTCCTCCGTCTCCGGAGGTGAGTACTGACACGTTGGGGTGGACGGGGGCTCCAAGGAGGGGGTGATGCTGAATTACCACCCACCCCCCGCCCACAGGTCATCCGGGAATGGCTGGAGAGCCGGACCCCCAGCAGCACCCCACAGCCCCCCTCGCGCCAGGGCGGCAGCTCGGCCCGCAGCAGCGTGCAGCACTTCCACAGACCCGGTACGAGCCCCGGCACCGGGACACGCAGAGAGACCCAGGGGGTCCTGGTGAGCCCCTCGGGGCCAGGCTGAGAGAGCTGGGCTGGGGCAGCCTGGGGAAGAGAAGGCTCCTGAAGGGGAGACCTGAGAGCAGCTCCAGTGCCTGAAGGAGCTGCAGGAAACCTGGAGAGGGGCTTGGGATATAAGGGGTATAGGGACAGGCCAAGGGGGAATGGCTTTAACCTGCCCGAGGGGAGACTGAGCTGAGCTCTTAGGCAGAAGCTCTTCCCTGTGAGGGTGCTGAGGCGCTGGCACAGGGTGCCCAGAGAAGCTGTGACTGCCCCATCCCTGGCAGTGCTCAAGGCCAGGTTGGACACAGGGGCTTGGAGCACCCTGCTCCAGTGGAAGGGGTCCCTGCCTGTGGCAGGGGTTGGAGCTGGAGGAGCTCCGAGGTCCCTTCGAACCCAAACCAGGCTGGGATTCCATGATTCTATTCCTGGCCCCAACCCCCCTTTTCCCTTGCAGAGACCGACACAACAGAGCTCAACATATACAAGAAGCCTCCGATCTACAGGCAGAAAGGTGAGCTGGGGAGGGTCTGTGCCACGGGATGGAGCACCCATGGGCGCTGCCTGACCCTCCCTGTGCCCCGCAGAGCACCACTCCAGCGCCCACCATGGGAAGCATCTCATAGAGGATCTGATCATTGAATCCTCCAAGTTCCCTGCGGCGCAGCCCCCGGATCCCAACCAGCCTGCCAAGATCGAGACCGACTACTGGCCATGCCCCCCATCCCTGGCTGTAGTGGGTAGGTGGGGAGCAGGGATAGGGAAGGGAATGGGCTGCACCTGGGCCTGTATCTCCCCCCAAAGTCTCCATGGGGATGCTGAGGATGGGTATAACATCCCATCTCCCCACAGAGACAGAGTGGAGGAGGAGGATGGCCTCCAAGAGAGGGGAGGAGGAAGAGGAGGACCTGACAGAGGAGATGAAGAACCTGCGGGAGCTCCAGAGGCAGGAGCTGAGCAAGGTGAGAGGCAAGGACAAGCGGGTGGGTGCCCTGCGAGAGGCTGCGGCTGTGCTGACATTGCCCCCCCGCCCGTGCCCCTTTGCCCCTAGATCACCTCCAACCTCGGGAAGCTGATCCTGAAGGAGGAGATGGAGAAATCGCTTCCCATCCGGAGGAAAACCCGCTCGCTGCCGGACCGGACGCCTTTCCACACATGTAAGTGGGATGATGCTCTTCCCACAGCCCCCCTGGGGCTGCCTGCGCCCTGCCAGGCCCCACAGCCCTGCCTGCACCTCTGCGATCTCCTGTTCTCTTGCAGCTCTGCACACGGGGGGCTGCAAGAGCTCCTCGCTGCCCGCCTCTGGCAGGAGCACCCTCACCCGGGTGAGTGCTCGCAGCTCCCGTGCTGCACCTCCACGGACGGGCTCTGGGTGGCATCACCCTGATCCCGTCCCCTGTCCCCTTCCAGCTGCAGTCAGCGGAGTTCAGCTCAGCAGGCAGCGAGAAGAGCAGCCCTGGTGAGCGTCAGGGGGTGTGGGAGATGTCCCACGGGATGAGGGATGCTGGGGCTCCGCGGAGGGTGGAAAACCACTGCTTGGGGCTCGGCATCACCCGGGGGGGGACACAGCGGGGGAGGGCCGGGGCTGAGTCCTTCTCCTCTGTGTTTTCCAGGCCTGCAGGTAAGCGCTCATCCGGATGCTGATGGAGACCCAGTGAGAGGGTGATGTACACAGGGGGGACATGGACACCCCAGGGTGTGTCCCAGGGGGAAAGGGGAGAGCTGGGAGGGGAAAGGTTGGGTTTCCAGTCCCCAGGCTGGAGCCCATCACCTTGGCTTCAGTTCAGGTGGGAAAGTCCAGCCCTTTGGGGAGGTCTGACACCAGGTTTGTCCCCCCCAGAATGGCCAGCGTGGACGCATGGATAGAGGCAATTCCCTGCCCAGCATGCTGGAGCAAAAGGTGAGTGGGGCTTGGGGACATGAGGGGGTATGGGGGGGGTCTTAGAGCCTTGGGTTTGGGGGAGGTGGACTGTGGAAGGAGTCTGACATCCCCCCCATCCTGCAGATCTACCCCTATGAGATGCTGATGGTGACAAACAGAGGCCGAGTGAAGCTGCCCCCCGGCGTGGACAGGACCAGGCTGGAGGTAGGGGCTGAGCTGGCCTCTGGGGGGGGCACCCACAGGAGGGGGGGACCCTTCACCCCATCATCCTCCTCCTCTCCCCCTGCACAGCGTCACCTCTCCCCTGAGGATTTCCTGCGGGTCTTCGAGATGCCCCCCGAGGAGTTCAGCAAACTGGCCCTGTGGAAGCGCAACGAGCTCAAGAAGAAAGCCTTCCTCTTCTGAGCCCTGCCTCCTCTTCTGAGCCCTCCTTCCCCTCCGGAGCCCGCCTGGCCCCGCGCTCAGCCCGTGTCGTGCCCTGTGACCGCTTTAGGGCTCTCAGCCGGTTTTTATTAGGACCCCCCCCACACTTCCCGTCTCCACCAACCCCTTCCCCACACCCACACCCCCCCGCGGGATAGCGGGATAAGGGCTCGGGGGGCTCCCTGCGGGGCGATGGGGCTGGGGGCTGTCCTGGAGCAGGCACGGTTCAGCCCGGTGGGGAGGTCTGGGGGGCTCTCTGTGCTTTGTGCCCCCCATTTCTGCCCCCGGGCACGCTGGCAGGGCAGTGCCTGGCTCTGGTTTTGCCCAGGATGTGTCAGCTCCATTGGGCTCCCCCCCCCCCAGTGCCTCCAGCCCCTTTGCCCCCCACACTTTCACCCCAAGACTTGGGAAGAGCCTGGGGGGGGCGACTCACTGCCAGACCCATGTGCTCCCGGCAATGCCAGGCTGGCATCCCACCCTGCCCCGCTCCAGACCCTCTTTACCATCACTCCTCCTGTGCCGGGACACACGCGCTGCCAGACCCTGCCCAGCACCGCACCGGTGGGTGCTGGTGATGTGGAGCACGGTGGGATGGGGCAGGGGGTGGCAGAGCCGGGGTCCTGGTACGGAACCTCCTGCTGCATCTACACCTGCAGGAGACGCACTGGGGATGCAGCAGGACAAGGGGGTGATGCAGCCCTGCCTGGTCCCCCATGGCACCGGGCAGCACCGTCCCTTCTCACACCTCTCCCATCCCCTTTGGGCACACGTTTTGGGCAGGACCCCTCTGCCCCCTGCACCCTCTATCCCCCCACGCTCCCTGTTTTCTGTTTCCAGCCACTTTTCCAGCCGCTAGACCTTGTTGGGATGTAAAGAATGTAATTTATCGGGGAACCACTCGCCCATACTTGCCTTTCACTGCTACAAACGACATATCTATAAATATATATATAAATATGGGTTGTTTTCTGACTGACTTACAGTGATTCACTTTCTGTTCTGTTAGAATTTGATTTCGCTGGTGTCGGAGAATCCGCGTGAGTTTTTGCTGACAATTAAAGGTGAAATGGCTTTATCCGGCTCCGGTGCTTTGCTTTCGCCTTCTCCCCCTTCCCTGGTCCCTGCAGATGGCGATGGTGCTCCGGGAAGGATGCGGAGCCCTTCCCCGCCTTCCCCCCGCCCTGCCCGGGCTGTGCTGGGGGCCCGGAGGGTGTGTGCGAGCCGAGCCGGGTCCCCGCTGCCCCGGTCCCGATCCCGGTGCGCGATGTGAGCGCATCCGCACCATGGCCCGGCAGAGAGGTACGGGGGGCACAAAGAGCCGGGGGGGCTTTAAAGCCTGCAAAGGGGTGAAGGAGAAGGCAGAGGTGAAGCTGTGTAGGGTGTCCTGGGGGGGAGTGTGTAAATGGGGGGTGAATGTGCATAAATGGGGGGTGAATGTGTGTAAATGGGGGGTGAATGTGCGTAAATGGGGGTGAAAGGGGGTGCACGGGAAGGAGGAAAAGGGGGAAAGGGGGGAGTTAGGGTGATGGGGATATGCGTGGAGCTGTGGGGAGGGAAGGGGTGGAGGGGGTAGGGTGTGGGTGACAGGGCTGGGGTCCCCCCAAACATAGGGCAGGGGAGTGGGGGCCAGCAGCCTCCATGGGGTGATCTGGGGGCGCAGCAGCCATGGCCTGGAGCCTCCCCACATGATGGGTCACGCTGCGGCCAGGAGCAGCTCCGGGGTTGGGGCCTCCAACCTCCTCCTCTGACTCATCCCACGTTGAGCCAGAGCCACCCCGAGCGCTGGAGCGGGGCCTTGGGGTGCCCCTGAGCTGCTGCACCCCACGGGAGTGGGGCTGAGCCTCACTGCACAGAGCAAAATGTACTTGGCCATAGGGCAGAGATGCCAGCCCTGACTCCCGTGGGTGCTGGCATCACCCAGGCAACCCTGCTCGCATGGCATCCCTTTGGACAGCCTTCCTCCTCTTCCTCCGCAGATGATGAGGATGCCAGGGGGTTGGGCCCTTCCCATGGGAGCGGGTGCTTTGCCAGGAGGTGGTTGTGTGTTTGGGGGGTGTTTTCCTTCCTCCCTGCAGATGGTTTTCGTTGGGGCTGCCTTCCCTTGGCACCCACAGCTTGGCACCCTGGGTCATACCGGGGTGAGGGCAGCCCCTGCCTGCCCCACAGCGGGCTGGGGGCCCGGCACAGCGCCCCTGCCCCACTGCTGGGGGAGAGGATGGAGGGAGGGCTGAGGGGTGAGTGGACACAGATGTCATTGCCCAGGAATTCAGCCTGGGTGGAGGAGAGGAGAAAGGGAGGGAGAGGAAGAACCAGGCACATCGGGCATGGGGAACAGCGCCTGTGCCCCCCCCCCCCCCCGTGCTCATCGGTCCCTGCCCATGGGGGGGGGCAACCCCTGCCCAGCTGCCCCCCCCCCCAACCCCCCAAGGAGCCGTTTCCCCCCTCCCCTTCCCCCGTTTCCAGGGAAATCCAGATGTTTGGGCCCAGCTCCGGCATTGCTCAGCCTCCTGCCAGATGTTTCCTCTCCCTCCGGGCAGGGGTGTGTGCTCCTCGCTGGGGACACCGGGAGGGGGACAGCGCTCCCCCAAGCCAGCACCTCCACAGGGGCTTCTCCCGCATCCCGCAGGGGCTGTCCCTGCTCCCGCTGGGAATTGGCAGGGGGAGGCCGGGAGCAGGGAGAGCAGGGGGCTTGCAGCGGGTCTGTGCAGTGATGCAAACCGCTTCCGGAGGCTCGCAGGAAGGAGCTGGGGGTCAGGCAGAGACCCTGGGGGCATCTGCCTGCTCCTGGGGCAGCAGCCCAGGGCTATGGGTGTGCGAGGTCCTGCTCTGCCCCACACTTCCCCACGCCTGAAGGGACCCAGAGCTAGCACTGATTGGGGCTGGGCCCTCAACCCATCGCCCTCTGGCTCTCCCTACTTCGGGGCTCATGGGGCTGAGGCAGCGCTGTCCCATCCCATGGGAATCCCATATTCCCCACCCAGGGTGAGGGAGCACAAAGCAGCTCCTTGTGCCACTCCATCCCTCCTTCCTGGCACGGCAGGGTCGGGGTCTCCAGCCAGCGCTGAGTCCCAGCCCTGCTCCCTGCCCTTGCGAATGCTCAGCGTTTCTGGCCTTCATCAGCTGCTCCCATAGGCTATTCCTCCCCCTCTTCCTCCTCCTCCACATGGAGGAGCAGCACATTGGGCTTCCCAGCGCAGCCCCTGGCCCCGGTTCCCCTCGCCCAGGCGGGAACAAACCCGCTCTGTGAGCACAAACAGAGCATCCTTCATCACCATGGGGCACTGTTCCCCTTCCTCATCCTCCCCCGGCACCCTGGGCTGGTCAATAGTGGGATTGTGTGAAGCAAGAGCACGCAGCCCCACACTGGAGAGCGCCTGTCGTTGGATGAGCATCCTGCCTGCACCCTGCTGCGGTGGGCTGTCGATGGCACATCCCTGTGTCCTGCAGACCTGGACAAGCTGCTGTCGGACCTGCGGTCTTTCCTGCTCATCCTGGACCGGGAAAGCCTCAGCTCCGTGGCTCGGGATAAGAAGAAGTCGGTGGCTGAGCTCCTGTCGCGGCTGCAGAGCCCCTCGAGTGAGCGTGGGGATGCAGAGTACATGATCATGCGCTGCCTCTCACCGTCCCCACAGGGCCAGCCCAGCCCTGGTGAGTCCACGCTCTGACCCACACCCCATCTCCTCCAGACCCTCATTCCCAGGATTCCGGGCTCCTCAACTCGCGCACAACGCTGCTTTCCCCCCAGGAGCCAGGAGGATGGATGCAACAGGAGGAAGAACCTGTGAGTGCCACACAACCGGGACCCTGAGCCCGCACGGAGGGGTAAGCGTGGAGGGGCTGCACGGTGATGGGAGATGGGCACCCGGTGACCAACCCCACATTGCAACCTTGCTCACACGGGGGTCTGGTCACGCTGGGAAGGCTCCAGTGCTGCTGCCATCTCCTTTGGGGACGTGTGGCTCCCCCCAGGGACACCACCTTTGGAGCACCCCTTTTTTCCCCAGAGCAAGGTCCCTGGTGTCTCACAGTCCCCGCCAGCCGATGACTCCTATGAAGATGCTGAACCCCTCGGTCCCAGCCGCTGCTCCGGTGAGCACCGCAACGCATCCCCTCCCCGTCACCCGCACACACCCAGCACCCTGGTGCCAGCCCGGCTCTCAGGTGGTGCCGACACCGACAGCAGCCACTACGAGTCGTACGAGGAGGATGAGGAGGGTGTGAAGGACCGTGCCCACTACCTGCGGCGGCCGCCGGGCACCGGCCGCGATGCTGAGCCCAGCGGGCGCCCCGAGGCGCAGCTCTGCGGCTTCCTCTGGAGGAAGCGCTGGCTGGGGCAGTGGGCGAAGCAGCTCTTCATCGTCCGCGAGCATGTGCTGCTGGTGAGCGGCCGGCGAGGCTGGGTGAAGGCTGGGAATGGGGCCCAGCGGGTCCCTGAGCTCCGCTCTGCCCCTGCAGTGTTTCAGGTACGCCGCCGACCCGCAGCCGGTGCTGGAGCTGGACCTGCGGGGCTGCCACGTCACCTGTAAGGCCAAGCAAGGCAGGAAGATGCCGCACACCCTGAAGGTGACGGGGACAGCGGGAGAGGTGCTCGTCATCGGCTTCCAGAGCCGGCAGCAGGCTGAGGACTGGAGGAAGGTTTGGAGGTGTTGCAGCCTGGCAGAGCTCTGCATGGGCAGGAGGGAGGGGTGGGCAGGGAGAAATGAGGCACAGCCTCATGGGGTGCTGCCGAGGTGGCTGGGGATGTCCCCATCCATCCCCACGCTGCCTGGAGCATGGTTCAATGGAGATCAGGCATTTGGGGGTGCAGTGCTCCCCTTCTCCTTTGGTAGGTGATTGAAGAGGTCAGCAGCAATGCCCCGGGAGGGCTGGCATCTATCAGCACCCCATCACCACCATCCTCCAGGCTCAGCAGGGTGAGCTGCCTGTTCTCCCATGGGAAACCCAGGCATGGGAAGGGGGATGCAGAGAATTCACCCCAAATCCCATCCCGCCATCCCCACTGTCTGATGCTGGAGGGGGGGGCTTCACTGCCATGGGGTGGGGGTGAGAGTGCTTAAGGCCTGCAGGGATTGGGGCTCCTTGGATCATCATCCTCAGGCTGGCAAGGAGGAAGAGGAGGATTGCTCGCGGCAGAGCCATGCCCGCAGCCCGCGGGCTGGAGAGGACGCCAAAGGAGGTGCGATGCTGAAGGGCAGGGGGCCGGGGGTGTCTCCGGCTCGGTGCTGACGGGGGGATGCCCCCGCAGGGTTCCTGTCGGTGCGGCTACGCGGGCGCTGGCAGCGGCTGTGGTGCGCGGTGCGGCAGGGAGTCCTGCGCATGGTCCCGGAGCCCGGCAGCGCCCAGCACCCCGGCTGCGCCCTGCGCCTGGAGGGATGCGAGGTGACCCCCGGCACGGCCACCGGCTCCCCTCAGCGCCTCCGCATCCGCATCGCCCAGCGCGGCCGGGAGCTCGCCCTGCTGCAGGTGAGCAGCCGCTGCCGCATCCCGCATCCCGCACCCGGCCCCCGCTGACCCCGGCCCCTCTGCCCCGCGCCAGACGCGTTCGGATGAGGAGAGGGAAGCCTGGTTGAAGACCCTGCAGGCCAGGGGAGAAGCCGAACCAGCCAGCAACAGTCCCCACGATGAGAAACCCAGGCTGGGCAATGCCAGCAGCTGCCCTGCTGCAGGGTAAGGGGGCACCGGCCGGGATCCCAGCCCTCCTGCTCCGTTATGGGGATGCAGGTGACAATGGGACCCCTGTCCTGCTTGCAGCGGGCTGCTCCAGCGCCGTGTCCCGACACCCAACGCCTACATGGATGATCCCTTCGGGCAGCTCCCACCAGCTGAGGCTCCCAAGCATCTCTACTCCAACATGGAGCGGCTGCAGCAGCTGGTAACCACCGTTTGCCCCTGCAGCAGGCCCCAGGGTGAAGGGGATGAGCTCCCACCACCCATCGGCTTCCTTCCACAGCAGCAGAACTTGGACCGAGCAGTGCAAGGGCAGCGCAGGAGACCCATGTCTGCGCTGCCCATGGGTGCCTGCAGCAGCACTCTGCATGCAGGTGAGCAGGGCCTGGGTGCTCCATGCCAGGCGCAAGGCCCCCCCCCCATGAACCCCAGACCCATGTGCTGGGATGGAGGCTGAGGTGCCCCCAAGCACGGTGTTGTGCCATGATTCCTCTGCCCTTCCTCCTGGGCATCCTTCCTCCTGGGCATCCTTCCTCCCCAGCACCAGCAGCAGCTCTCCGGAGCAGGGCCGCCAGCCCGCAGTGGGTGAAGGTGAGCTCCGATCTCTGGAGCAAGGATCTCTCCCAGTCCCAGCGCACCCTGACGCTGCCTGAGAGGAAAGGAACTCGGGATGGGCTGGATATCCTCATCGGTAGGGCCGCAGAGGGTCTCTGCTCCTGTGCAGGGTGGGCCTTGTCCTTCCCCAAGGCTGATGGGGTCGAGAGGTGCCCGGGCTTGGCAGTGCCACCGTGTCCCTGCAGGGAAAAGAGCCTTCCCGAAGCTGCAGGAGAAGGTGGGGCAGCTGGAGAGAGCCTGCCGCATGAAGGGCAGGCTGAAGGCTGGCTCCGAGATGAACCTGCTGGCCATCGGCACGTCCCTGAAGGGCCGCATCGCTGCCACCAGCGGCTCGGCTGGCTCCGAGGTGGGGACGCTGGGGAGGGCAGGGGATGCAGGGAGCAGGGGGGGCCGGGGGCAGGCGTTGCCCTCTCTCCGCTCCACTTTTGCAGCAGGGCTCGTTCCTCACGCCGCTGCTGAAGCGCACGGCATCGGCCAGGAGCGCCCTGAGGCCGTCACCACCCTCCCCGCTCATGGTGGAGAGGGGAAATGTGCTGCAGAAGAGAAAGGTACCGGCGGGGCCCTATGGGAGGGCAGAGCTGGGGTGAGCCGGGTACCACCCGTGACACCGGGGGGTAACCGCCCCTCTCGGGTGCCCTCCAGGAGTGGGAGTTGAAGTCTGTGATGTGATCGGCACCGCAGCAGCTTCGGGGCACCCCTCAACTGAACGGAGGCTGCACGTGGACCGTGCAGGACCCGCCTGGTGCCTGGTTTTAACCATCAATATCAACGCTACAACTACGCACATCTATTTTTTATATATATATACACATATAAATTGTCCATCCGTGGGTCTGAGTATCCCTGGAATGGCTGGAGGGGGGTGAGCCCCTCACAGCGTCACCCCCTTCTCACCCATCCCAAAACCTTGGTTTTAGGGCACAGATTTCCCCATTGCAACCTCGCGAGCTGCTGGTTCTGTCCCTAATGTGGGTCCAGAGCATCATCAGCAGAGACCCTGGTCACGAGGTGGGATGTGGATACACCCCTGTCCAAGCATCCAGGGGACACACACAGAGTGATGGCGGGTGCTTGAGGCACTTAACTGCACCTTCCTGGAGCCGGCAGGACCCAGGCTGGGCCCTGGGCTGCTCCCCAGTGCTGTGCTCGTCACAGCTCGGGGTCCATTGCGGAAATGCGGGGTTTAAGGATTAAAATGACAATAATAATAATTAGTCCCAAAAGTTGGCTTGTTCCGGGCTGTGCTGGGGAGAGGGGAGCTGGGGAAGGAGTGTATGGGGGGGGAGGGTGGGTCAGCGTCCCAGTGCGAGGTGCTCCTAGGGGGATACCCCTATCCCGGTGCGAGCTGTTCAGGGGGGCTGTCCCCGTCCTGCGGGGTCCCAGGGCCGCCCCCGCTGCACTTTCAGCGCTGTGGGACCTTTCAAACCCTCCCTCCCCAAACGCCTCCTCCCCTTTCCCCGCCCCAGCCCCATCCCTCCGGCTCCGGAGCCGCCGGGGGAGGTCCCGTCCAGGCCGCCCTCGCTGCCCTGCCCGGAGCCACCGCGGCGGGGCGCTGTGGAGGGCGGCGGGGCCGGGCTCGGTTCCGGTGCCCGTTCCGGTGCCGGTGCCGGTGCCGGTACCGGTACCGGGGGCACAGCCATGCTGAGCCGGCTGGGAGCGCTGCTGCAGCAGGCGGTAGAGACGGTGAGTGGGAACGGGAACGGGAACGGGAACGGGAACGAGAACGGGGGGGTTCTGAGCGTCCCTGACCCCGGCCCCGGTTGTGCGCAGCGGGAGCCCAGCGTGGACCTGCTGGAAGCCTTCACCGAGCACTGGAAGGGCATCACCGGCTACTACCTGGAGGCCACGGGTGAGTGGGGTGGGGGGAGAGGGTCCCTGTGCCCTGGGATGGGGTCTGTGTGGCGTGGGAATAAAGTCCTGTGGCGTGGGAACGGGGTCTTTGTGCCCTGGAAGGGGGTCCCCATGCCCTAAGAGGGTTCCATAGCCTAGGAATAAGGTCCCTGTGCCCAGGAGGGGGTCCTGGTGCCCTGGAATGGGACCCGTTGGACTGGGACGCATGCCCTGGTTGGCACCCTGTGCAGCAGCAGGGCACCGTGCTGATCCTAGTACAGTGCAGCTGACCTGGCGGGGGGGGCTTTGGCATGGGACACCCAGGAGGATTTATCCAGCCGGGTGCTTGGCCTTGTGCGGCCCTGACCCCCCCCCCGCACACCATTGGGGTCAGCATGAGGGATACTGTGCTCCTGGGAACACATCCCTTTGGGAACACGCTGCTTTGGGAGGCACCAAAAGCAGGGCCTGGGGAGCTCCGTCCCTTTCCACAGCAGGGTCTCGGTTCTCCCCGCTCGGCGCCCACTTTCCCCCCCTCCTCCCGGTGGGGTCCGGGGCTGGCAATGGGCAGCTCCCACCGGGACCGGCCGCTCCGTAGGCCAGGAGCGGAAGGGGAAGCTGGGAGCCCATCCACACATTGCCATCTAGCGTCGCTCCCGCCATGGAGCGGGAGTCTGGGCCGGCACGGGTTGGGAATAGTGCCCCGGGTTGGGATCTGGGCCCCCCCCAGTGCATGGCTCCCGTTGCCTTGGGACACACACACACACCACAGCGCCCAGTTCCTGCGCCCGCAGACGAGAGCATCCCGGCCAGGCAGACGGACATCCCCTGGCGCCTCAGGCAGATGCTGGACATCCTGGTCCATGAGGAGAGGCAGTTCCCAGCGGGAGAGGCCGGGCCGTGCCTCGAGTACCTGCTGCAGCACAAGGTGCTGGAGACCCTCAGCACGCTGGGCAAGGCAGAGGTGGGTGCACCAGCACGGGGGGGCTGAGCCCCCTGCACAGCAGCACCCACTGCCCTTCCCAGCTGCTTTGCATGGTGCTGCTCTGGCCCTTTGGTTTTGTAGCTCTTCCAGCTGCACAAGGGGTTTGTGGAGTGGGACCTTGGGATGCTTGGCTTTCCTAGGGGCATTGCTCAGTGTAAGATCCCCATTGGAATCCTTTCTGCTCCTCCTCCAAATGGCTCTTGCTCCCCATCGCATTCCTGCCTGCACAAGAAGGGTGTTTTTCACACCAGCAACATGTTTGCTTCTGGACACCTCTCCAAGTAAACACTGCCCAAAACATCAGGATTACAGAACAGTCTGGGTTGGAAGGGGCCCCCGAAGGTCGTTTAGTCAAATACAGCAACTCCGATCTTCTTCTGTTGCTAATAATAAGTTGGCTCCATATAAATAGCTTTTCATACAATAGCAGCTGCTGTGCTTCAGGAACGTGCTGCTCCTTCCGTGGCTGGGAGGGTTTGGGTTTTTGGGGTGCTGGGCTTTAACATTGTAGGAAAAGGGAAATAATCCCCTTGGGATAGCTCAGTGTAGAGGAGTTCAGTTCCCAGTTGCTGAAGGCAGTCAGGGGAAGGGCTGGGGGGGGGGAATGGGTCCTTTTACATCATTTTGGGGGAGCAAAAGCAGGGTCTGTGCTGAGGGTGTTGGTGCAAGCCCCCTGTGCTGGCTGTTGGGTGACTCTGTGGATGAGTGGGGGTGATGACAGGGGAATTGGGGTATGCAGACAGGTAATGGGGCCCTTGCTGATGCTTGTCCCCATCTCCCCCTCAGTACCCACCCGGGATGAGGCAGCAAGTCCTCCTCTTCTTCAGCCGGGTGCTGGGGCAAGTGCAGCACCCGCTCCTGCACTACCTCAACGTGCACAGGCCGGTGAAGGTGAGCCCTGGACGCAGCAGCGGTGCCCCCGGCGGTGGCAGTGCTGGGGCCGCCCAGATCCCTGCCCGATGCTGCTCACGGTAACGGGGCAGGGTGGGAGAGCACCCAGCACCCGCTCCGTGCCCCGCAGAAGCTGCTCCAGCTCAGCGGTGACCGCCTGGGCTCTGGCTTGGAGAAGGAGGAGGTGCAGTTTGCGGCCGTCCTCTGCGTGAAGATCAAGCAGGATCCCACACTGCTGATGTACATCCTGGAGGTGAGCAGCCCCTGGGCGTGTGGGGCCGTGTAGGGGGTCATCTGTGGGGTTTATGGAGCTTTTCCACATGCTTTGCAGCTCCGTCCCCACAGCACAGCTCCTCGGGGTGAGGGGGATGCATGCGGTGGCTGTGATGCTCTTCCTCTCCAGGGCAAGAGCATCCCGAATGGGACGACAGCCCGGGAGCTGCCAGCCATGGAAGAGGGTACGGAGCATCCCTCTGGCCCTGCCACGGGCTCCCCCCGTGCCGAGCCCTCCCCACCACGGAGGGACCACAACCTCATCACATCCCTGGTGGGGCTGTGCAAGAGCAAGGTACAGAGAAAGGGCTGCAAGGAGGGGCCGTGGTGCCTGTGACCGCGTGATGCTGCCTCTCCTCCTCCTCCTCCTCCTCACAGAAGAGCCGGGTGGCAATGAAGGCTCAGGAGAACCTGCTGCTGGTGGCAGGGCTGGCTCAGGAGGCAGCTGCCACCTGCCTGGTGCGGAGCAGTGCCCTGTGCCCGCTGCTGACCCAGCACCTCTGCGACCTGCACAGCGCCGTGCCCGCGGGCACCGACCCCGCCGACGTCCTCACCATGGAGAGGATGAGCTGGAGGTGAGGCGGGTGCTGGGTTGGGGGGGTGTCCCCTGGCACCCTCAGGGCGCTGCTGCAGCCCCGCGTGCTGTGCCCCGCGCAGGTCGCAGGGTGCTGGGGATGCCGCGTTCCCGGGGAAGGAGAGCCTGGCTGCCTTCCTCGGCTGGCTGGATTACCTCGACGAGCTGGTGCTGGGCGCACACCCGGTAAGGAGCACCCGGCTGCTCGCTCTGAGCCGGGGCAGCGCCGTGCCCGTGCCAGGCTCAGCCCCTGCCCTCGCTGCAGGTTGTGGCAGAGGCTGTCGCTGAGGCCGTGGAGGAGACGTTCTTTCAGGGCACCCTGCGGCCGCAGCTCCTGCAGATGTGAGTGTCCGGGTGCAGGGGCTGGAGCCGGGTGAGCTCCGAGGTCCTGTCCAGAGCAAACCAGGCTGTGGTTCTGTGACCCCTGTGGGGCTGGGACCGCGGGGTCCCTGCTGCGGTGCCCCCCCAGGGCACCCTCCCGCATCCCTCCCGTCCCGCAGGTCCGAGGTCGCGGTGCTCAGCGCCACGGCCATGCTGGTGTGCACCGTGCGGCAGGTCCGAGCTCCCGCCCTGCTCCGGCACCTCGTGCTCTTCCTGCTGGGGCCAGACCAGCACCCGGAGACCCCGGGGGATGCCCCCCACTCCCTGCGCACCCACCTCATCGACCGCTGCAACCACCTCTGCGACGAGGTGAGCCCCATCCTGCTGGGGCGCGGGCGGTGCCGTGGGGCTGTGCCGACGTCCCCTTTGCTCCTCACGCCCCAGATCAGCCTGGCCAGCCTGCGGCTCTTCGAGCAGCTCCTGCAGAAGCCCCACGAGCACATCACACACAACCTGGTGCTGCGGAACCTGGAGGCCAGGGGGTACCTGCAGCGAACCCCCCTTGTGCCCGAGGAGCGCGGAGCCCCCGAGCTGGAGCACGAGGAGGATGGGCTGTGAGTGAAGGGGAGCGGGGCAGGGTAAGGTGTGAGCCCCGCTCTGCCCACCCTGCTGACACCCCTGTGCTGGCCCCACAGGGACCTGGAGGAGGATCCGTACTTCACCGATGGATTCCCAGGTTCCAGCTTTGGGATGGTGAAAAAGCTTCCCTCAGGATCAGCCCCGTCAGGGAAGGGGCAAGTGAGCGAGGTGGTGAGCAGGTAGGGATTCCCAGGGGTTCTCCCAGCAGGGGGGGCCTGCATCCCTCTCCCCATCCCTCTCCCATCGCTTCCAGCTTCCTCTGCCTGGTTCCCGAGGAGGCAAAGACCTCCTCGTGCATGGAGGAAGGCGGCTACGACACCTACGTGCACGATGCGCTGGCAATGGTGAGTGTCTGGGGGGGCCCATGCCTGGAAGTGCTGGTCCCCACTCTGGATCCCACCCAGCATCACCCCCCCCACCAGGTCCAGGCGTGCCGAGACAGCGTAGCCCCGTGGGGGTGGCCCGGGGCCCCCAGTCCCCTCGACTCCTGTCACCCTGAAGTGGTGTTTTATGAAGGTCACTTCCTCAAGGTGCTGTTTGACCGGATGGCGCGGATCCTGGACCAGGTAGAGGGTGCCAGCAGGATGCTGGGGATGGATCTGGTCCCCACCATGCCCTGCATGTCCCGTGGGGGGTTCTCCAAAGGGCTCTCCGGGCTGATGGAGCCTCTGTCTTGGCTGGGGTTGGGGGTTGAATAGAAGATGCTTT